AAGTTTAACTTGTTTCCAGCTGAATATTTCAGCATAATTAGTGAGGCAAGCGAACAAACTAATTATCGAGAAGATACTCACAGCTCGTCCAAGACCATGGGCCTCGAGGCGATGGATCGCACGGATCCAAAGTGCCAAACGAGTTCGTGAATCATTCGGAACTGAATGCCAGACTGGGCCAGAAAACTTCGAACTAAGGTCCGCCAGCCAGCCGCTTTACGACCAACAATTGCAGTTTACCCCACGGAAATTTCATTGACACAGTTTTTACTTTACAACAGCGTTTTTATTTATTTTATCTTGAACTCCACGCCGTCACGTCACAAGTTGAAAAATAATTGTGTTTTGTGCTTTACCCGTGTTTGTGAAGAAATAACTGGTTTGATAGTGAACTCTTTCGGGGAACTCCCCAGAATTATAGTATCAATAAATTCAAGAGCAGTTCATTTTTAACACATTGATGACTTCTATTTATATGTCCTCCCAAATAGTATTTCATAAATAGCTTGTTTTTATAAAAAAATTGCCTATGTACAAACTAATTATCTACTAAATCTTTCTATGGTTTCATTTTTTGGCAATTATTTAATTTCTTTGGTTAAGTCGTTTAATTTCAATGCAAATCTTTAATTGCACGTTTTGATGTGGTTTACCTGTTATTTGCATTTTATTATATACAGTAAAGCTTTTTATTTTCTACGACTGTTTTATTATGTTTTACTTTGTTTGTATACCTTTGGAATTTGGCTTTCAAATTTTTATCAAAATTTAATTTTCCGCCGGCAGTAAGCTCAATTTAAAGTGGATTTTTTATGAGGTTCAATTGTCATTGGTCATTTTCCTCTGCATATTTTAAATTGTTTTTGTTATTCTGTTCAGGAACCTGATCCAATTTATTATTAATACTGCACTAAATTTATTTCGAGCTACCGAAAGGTAAAACAAATCTAAATACAACGAATGTTACATAAAACGTGACATTTGGTGAAACTCACATTTTATTCCGAACTATTTTGTTTATTTTTATTTTGGTTTGTTGGTGATTTCTGCACTCGTGATTGCATTAACGATTGTTGTTATTTGTGATTGTTTGTGCCATTCACGTTTTGCACCACGCGACGTTTTTTCCATACTACATTTCTTTAAAAGGTATGATCGCTCTGCAGCCTTATCATTGATATTACGTTGTCAACAATTTTCCAGAAAAAGATTTATTGGACGTAGGAATTGAACAGAGATTTTCAAAAATCTATGACAAAGACCTACTTATATGATTTTCTAAGAATTGTGATTTTTTATTAAAAACAACTAACCATAAAGCGGTTTCCTATCAATAAAAATAATCAAAGTACCAAGTTCGAAGAATTACCTCGCCAATTAATCTTTGCTTTGAATTTTATTCAGGTAAAGTAGAGCAACAAGTAAGCTTTTCGCAGGACCTCATATCCTGAATAGGATAAAGCTTCTTGTGAGCGCTAGCGCCATCTGGGCAAAGCTCCTGGAAGCAAAGACAAATTGAAAACCACTTTCTATACTACTTATAGAAAGTTCGTGTGCCATAAAAATCGCATTAAGCGCACACGCACAAATACAATAAATATTTTTCAATTTTTTAAGCTGCCAGAGAAATGTTTGTTTAATATAAGCAGAAATCGAAAAAATACGTTTTCACACTTTTTTAGCCCTTGTGTATTTACCAAAAAAGTTTTGCTCGTCCACAATTATATAAATATTTGATTTTGTTTGTCGTTTGTTGTATAATATCGTCGCAGTATATTTTACATATTAAAATTGCAATAAAAAATAACAGTTAGTCAAACAGAACAGAACTCGAGGAGGGAAAATTATGTGGCCGAAAAAAATATGGTAATAAACCGGTTTGCGGGTGGGTCAAACTAACTGTAAAACGGTCTTCAAGCGACGACGCTTAATAAATATTTAACAACTGGCATGATGCATACGTCAATATCGCTATGTGAGTGACTTTGTAATTTAAATATTATATGGCGTGCCGTTAACAATGCCAAGCTTCCCCTTTTTATTTACGAAGTTTCCAACCATTACACAAATCGTGGCCAACAACTCATCAAATTGAACGCAATTAAACGCTGGCCAACAGCATTAACTGTGATTGATCAAATGATATATAAATATATACTTATACCTTTTGATGGATGTATGACAGATGCCTCAGCGATGATACGATAAAAACATTGCGTGATTCAGTGTTATTCACGGACTTCAAACAGATAATGAGTTGGCCAAAACGGTACCAGAGGATTAATAATTTAAATGGCAATGATGTCCTATATACAATAAAATAGTGCAGGAAGTGAAAAAGTGCAGCACGAAAGCCCATGATGTATATAATTGAATAAATTTAAGGTTTATTATTTCATTATTCATAATCTTTGAAGTCGTAATTTCTCTATATGAGTAGTGTTTTTTAAGGCTATAGAACGTGTGAATAAAGTGGCACATCAATTTCTGCTCTTCCGAAACATTTCAGTTTTTAAGATCGTATGTGATTTGTTTGCACTACCTGAAAATTTGTCAATTTTCGTAACTTCGTATCATAAGTCGAATCAAAAGGCGTGACAAACGGAGATTTCCCACACGATCACGGCCTGTGCACTCTATAAATATAGGAAATTATAATTTTGTATCCCCTTTTTTGTTGGCATATTAAAAAGCCATTAGACGCGAAAACAAAAACAAGTCAAAAGGCAAAACAAAAAGTACGAGCATTGCGAACTTTCAATGGGTCGAATTGAAATCGAAATTTGAAATCCGAGACAATGCGGCAGTTTCACGCGATATTTATGGGCAAACTGTCTTCTTGTGTGAGTACTATGGTACATATACATGTTTTGAGTACTCGACTGTTTGTGTTTGCCGTAGTATTTTTGGTTTCCAGACTGCCGCCGGCATTGGGCATTGGACCGGAGTTGAGCATGAATGCCAGTGTGTGTAAACAAAAACCCCGAACGGGTTGAAATCGTGCTGATTAATGTTCCTCCGGCTGGCGGCGTCGGCGGAGAAAATTGCAAAATAGCAAATGGCATAGGTCAGTTACACTAATTGAAATAGAATGTTGTCGGTCAGTGGTTTTTCGTGGGTGCTGGCTCCATACTATATGGAGCACATGGTCTGTCTGGCGTGGGCAATTGTGAATGGCAAGTGCTCGGTCTTAAGTGACCATCATTTAGAAAGCATCGCAGCATCAACTCCCAGCCGAAACAAACTTCCTTTCACTTCAGAACGCGGAGTACGGCAGCTCGAAAAGATTGGAGTGAAAGTAATGGGAAGAGAATTGCTTTAAAGTCAGTAAAAACCTCGCAAGCGAACCATTAGAAGAACTTATTTAATTTAATTTTGCTAATTCCTTTTAATTTTTTCTCACTGTAACAAATGATTTAGATAGCCCCAAAATGATAGAACGCTCACCTCATGAGAAGATGATTTTGGTGTTTCTTTTGGTCCTATCAATCTAAGATCTTTTTATAGCTACAAGCTAACATCTAGAATTTGCATAAATTCTTAGAGCCAAAAGAAACTTTCTAAAGAAGTGAAGAACCTCAAACATGACATCAACAGGTGGTAAAAACCACAAGGGAGATATATATAAATGCAGAACCAAAGAGCTTTAGGATATGGAAAAGCTGAACCGACAAGCTTTATATATTTGGCGCCTGCGGGAACTTAATGAAAGTCAAAGTACAGCTGATGACAGCTGTGGAAAATCACGTGGTGGAGCTTTTGGAGAGAGAACTGAGAGAGGAAATGCTGAAGAGAAAGTCTGCACAAGAGAGCGGCCAAGGATACGCATGTCCTGGAAACGTCAAAACAAGCAAAAGCTGATTATAATGCGGCATGGGTTTGGGTTTGTTATTGGGGCCCCTTTTCTATACTTTTGGCCTGATTAGGCGAATGTCTGCCACTCCCCTTTTGCGCCCCCCTTTCACTGCATTCGGGGACTTCAACTTTTGATTGACACGATGAAGTGGCAAATGCATCACTTGAGACAATCTGCGGGGGTGGAAGTGGCAGGCGGGGCGGAAGTCCATGGCCGAGACTCTGGCAAATAAATGGAGACCGGGAGGCGAACTAATGAGGCGCCAGGAAGCCAGGCCAGCGAAAACAAAAACACCAACAAACCGCTCGAGCGGAGAAAGCAGCGTTCCCACCCAGGGGTACAGTGAGGTCTCTGCGGAAGTGAACACGTCAAGCCTATCAAAATAGGACAATTTGATGACCCAAAAAACTCTTAAGCTAGTAAGTATTAAAAAATATACCTAAAAATTTTGTTTCTAATATGAGTTTTAGCTTTCATATACAACTCCGTTTGGTAGCTCATTATAAAACCATTAGATCGTATATGTGTATATGAGCTATTATATCATTTCAGAATAATATAAACATGAAACGAAAAAAAAACACTAAAACTATTCAAATGTATTTCTGTTTAAGAGTCCTTGAAGTTTAAAGTTAAAGTGGATCAAATGGGTGTGAAGGTGTGCTAAACTTATAATAAAGGGCTAAAGGTAGTTAAAGACTTAAGTACCGGAAGTGAGACCGACTTATTCAAATCGAAATCTGCAATTTGAGGTTTTCGAATTGAAACCGAGTTACCCAGCTTTTGTTCTACGCGAGGTGTGTTCACTGTGTGCGAAGGCGTGCCAAGGTTAAGCGTTTGCTCGACGAAGGTGTGGCGGAGGTGGGCGAAGGGGCGGAGGGGGTAAGGTCCGCTGCGGGGGGAGTGGCACCGGTCAGGGGCAGTGGGTGGATAGAGCGGGTGTGTGCAGCTTGTGCAATCAGCTGTTGCTAATGAAAAACGTCGGCGGGTTCAACCAGGAATAAGCAAGAGTCAAAGCTTATTGATTTTCAACTGCGTAAGTTGGCCAGGAGAAAATTGGAGGTAAAAAGCAGTAGAGGGGCGTGGAAAATACATAGAGATAACCGACAATTTAATTCATTTGCTTAACTAAATGGAAACTTACCCTGGCCTTTGATTGTATGCAAATTCAATAAATGCGTAGTTTGTTTTTCACTTTTTAATGGCTTTATGTTTTCTCCTCGTTATGGGAAAATCTCTTGCTTTTATGGCTGTTAGTATTTCCGCTATGAATTAAATGCAATTATAATAGATACAATTATAAAGATGGCAATTACTTATGCACTCGCGTTTTCTTTTGCATTTTAATTACGACGGCTTTTGCATACTTGATAAAGTCGCACACAAGGCAATTTTCCCGACGTTCAGCGAGGGAATCTAATTTATATATAAGGTATACATATATAGCTGGGGCAAATTAAACGCGCAAAATGGAAGCAAAAAATTTGATTTGGTGTTGCCTAAGGTCGCCGGCGAAGACAGACACACAAAAAAGCGCAGACAAAAAACGCTGACAAAGCGGGCGGAAAAAAAATAAAAACAGAAATTTAGCGCTCGAACTCGACGCCCTGAGAGAGCGGAAAAAATCAGGCGAGATAGGGAGCGAATTAGATGGCTTATCAGTGCTTATCAACGCGACCGCTGATGACGCCACGCGATACAGATGGACAGCCAGATAGAGGGGCCAAATTGAACAACACTGCAATCAGCGGAAAACCGGGCTCTTAACTCCTGTTTATCGTTCTCATTAGGAGTGTGTATATAGCAACAGCTTGTTCGACATTCGGATACACGGCGAGTATCTGTATCTAGTAGTTCGTTGTGTTTGGCGCGCTGTATAACATCTTTCAAGATTGATAAACGCCGAAGATTGAATTTTTGCCCTATATTGGCGAAAAACTTCTCTCGCTTTCCTCAAAATAAATTTAGAACGGAAGATGGATTTAAGTGTTTGTTCTGTTAAGCTTGATGTGCATCACGGAATTTTTATTAAAGATTTACTTTTTGCATTTCAACAGTGTTTTCTATTTATTTTACTGATAAGCTTGATTTGTTCCACTGAAATAGTTAAGAACGTGATATGTCTGACTAAAATGTTAACACTAAAAATAATTTTGTGTTGATAAGATTGATTTATAGCTATAAAACAAAACTATATCCCTTAAAATTGATTGATAGCTTTTACAGGGGCTTTCCCGTGATTCTTTTACTTTGACATTTTATTTCTCTGTAATTTTAAAAATTCGTTGCACTTTACATAAGAATAGTTGTTCTGCACTTTCATTTGACTAATAAATTTGCCTAGGTATTTTTTGTGTTTGTTGTTTACGTTACTGTTGTTGTTGTTGACAACCAAACAAACACCATGAACTTGGGCACAAACACTCGCACACGCGGAAAGCTTCTTGATTGCACCAGAGAATCTTTTTTGCTGTTGATTTCCTTGCTTGTTATTTTGCACTGCACCGCGATTATTTCGAGATTATTACGCTAAACTTTTGCATTTTCTTCGATATTTTTGCGAATCGTCAATTAACGATTTATTCTGAGGGGAGAGCACGCGTGGGAGCCCCAAAAAAAGAGAGAGCACGGCAGGAGAGAGCGGCTGCGGAGGCAACAAAAACGATAGCCCACCAGTCAGCGGGAGAAAGAGCGCCCGCGTCGTACCAACTTAACAGCACAAAAGTTCCAATAAGACTGAACACTGAACGCTGACAACGGAAAACGGAAAACCGAAAGCAGAAATCTCGCTGCGGCAGAGCGCGGGGAGCGCAGCCCCAACTACGAATACTCTCGTTCACAGTTAAAATACCTCCAGTTGTTGCGGCTGCTCGCTCTCTTGTTGTCGTTGTTGTTGTCAATCAATTGACAAAAAGGTATCAACCAAAGCCTGGCTTTACAGTTACGTGCTCTCAGCAGCGCTCTCTCCGACTTATCCGCTGCTTAGTCGCTCTCACTTAGCTAAAACAGCTGATTACATTTTGAAAAAGGTAAACAGACCCGGAGAGCAATCAAAGCTTGCTCTTCCTCCTCTCACTTTTAGCTTTTGCTTTTGCTTCTGCTTTTCCGCAGCGGGGGGCGTTCGGCTAATGAGCTTGCATTAAAATAGTAATTGACTAAGAAGCCGCAGAGCTAATAAGAAACAAAGCCAAGGTGGACGGAAACGAGTTTCCAATAAGACCCTGTTGCACTTTTATTGGCGAAGGGTGGGGAAGTGGGAGGGGGTGTGCAGTTAACAGATTGGCTTGTCCCCGATTTCAGCCCATTTTGGCTGACACATTTTCGATACTCTTAATGAGTAGAGTTATTACAATCGCCTAGAAGGTTTAAGAACAGAAATCAGAAATCAATAGTAAAGAAAAAGTTATGCCATTTCTGAAGGGTTTTCTAATAATAATAATAATAATAATAATAATAATAATAATAATAAGTTTAGGGGCTTTATTCAAAGATGCTTAATCCTAAAACAAACCTAATTAGAATGATAAATGACTTAAAAAAAAACGAGTTATATATCAACAATTATATTTAGTAGGAACTATATTGTTGAGAAATAACCCCTAACTATTAATTAATCATTATTTCCCAGCAAACTTATTTGGCAATAATTTGAAAAACTGTTTCTCAGAATGGAACCCATAAAAATAACTTCATAACTTCAATACTTTATTCAATAGGAAATATTTAAATGTTCAAATAAATCTTCTGCCCACCTTCTTACTATCAAAACCAAAGTGGTTTCCATCAATCCTACATCATTAAATTCAACTTAATCTTTTTCAACACACTCCCATTTATTACTCCAACTTCCCCAAAATAAACAAACTGTTGGCAGACATTAACTTATAGTTCCCCGTCGCAGATCGAACATATGGGGATCCCCAAGGGTATTTCGATTTCGTCTAGCTAATTATTCTAGTTTCCTCCTCTCTAAGCAGAGGCGTCAGACAAACTGCAATTGGCGCTGTGCACGGCGAGCCCAAAAAATGTATATACATATATATAGAGTCAAATATATATATTCTAGTACGACACACAAACCGCAAAAGGCAACAGAAATAGATGGCAAAGAATTTCTAGTTGACTGAACACCCAATGCGCCCGGCGAGCCATCAGTCAGACACTCCGACGACCTAGACCCAGATGTCAGATGGCATCTAGCAGATACCAGATACGCCATCTAGCAGATACCAAATCGGTGGCAGAACCTAAGGCTAAAGCAATGGCTAACGGAAGCTGCTGAGCGGCTTGGAGCTTGCAGCTTGCAGCTCGGAGGCGTCATAAATCTTGCGCAACGCCCCATTGGCATCGCCGGCGGCTGGGAACTCCATCGCACCCGTGATCCCTAAGCCACAATTCCGGCCAAGACAATGGCCATTTGCATGGGTCACATAATTATGCACCATCACTCTAATGGCAATTTGTTCTTGGCCACCTTGCTAACGTGATTAGAGCTTGATGTGTTGAAGTGCCGATGCGCTGGATGTCGAGTGGAGTTCTGTTCTGTTCTGTTCTGGTCTTAGCCACTTGTTGCCCAACCTGAAAGCCAGAAAGACAGAAGGCCAGAAGGAAGTTTCGAGAGTCGTAAATTATTCGCTCTCTGTTTCCGCTTCTTGTTATCAGATGTGTGGGAACAAAAGGAAAACAGAACTGCACTTGCAAAAAACTAATGGCAACTAGATTTAATTATAATAACATCTTATATCTGATAAGTATTAATTTATGCCAATAAAGTGTCTATCTTTTCTTTTTAAAATTAAATTTGAAAGTGTTGTCCGGGTAAATACCAAATCTTTTGTTTTTATATTTAACCTTTAAATCTTAGTGATATTTAACATATTACCAAATATTTAGCATGTTCAAATATTTCGTAGCAATAAATTGACATAATTCTATGTGAATAGATTGACATATACTTTTTTGGTAGACTGGTTCTCATGAAATTTATAGCATTCTCCTTTTTGGGAATTTTTCACTCAAATAACTCAATAATAGCAGTTTAAATTTGAAGAAATTTTTCTAAGACGTGAATGTGGGTTAAGCTATCTGTGCCATTTCCTAACTTCCAAGGGTCTGCGCCAGTAGTTTACAACAAGTGTGGGTAATGTTTTCTACTCGTTGTTTGCTTTTCCACTTGCTATCCACGCTTGTATCTCGTAGAACGCTCTGCTCGGCGCTCAATCCAATTAAAGACCGAAACCATCTGTCGGCCGTGCCCTACAAAAAGTTTGGTACGAAGCTCCCGGCAGAACTGTCCCCGATTTGAGTCAAGTGTTATTTTGGGCGCTTTGTGTGTGCCACAATTATACGACAATTATAAATAAGTGCTTAATACCTTTATCTAGCCGACGACGTAAGTCTGCTCAGTTTAGAAGGTGTCGTACTGCTGCGAACGGATATCTTTTTCAGTATCTGTAACTGTATGTGTATCTGTATCTGTATCTGTATCTGGACAGCGGCCAAGATTTACGATTTACACATGGTAGATTCCAACGGGGTGAGCGTCATTTTCCCGGGTTATTGGCATCGGAACTAACTGTTTTCGGAGCGATCATTGCCGCTCACCTTTCGGCCGGCTATTGCACTCAATTACCAGGCGGCATCAAGAATGGAAATGGAAATGAAAATGGAAATGGAACTTTACCGCACACACATGAGAACCCGTTTTAACCTCCCAGCTAGCCCTCGACTCAACTCATCTGTCGACACTTGGTCTAGATACATGCGAAAATGCGCAAAAGATACAAGATAATGTTCTCTGCCCGCCAGATACGGATTCAAATATGTTGAACTGGATCTGTGCAAAATGAGAAAAAATCAAACACAAATGCGAGCTGTGATGGTTTTTTTTTTCTTTTTATGAATGCCCAAATCTATCCGGAATGTCAAAGTTGACAACTGCATGGTAAGTGAAAAAGTATGAGATTTATTTGCCTGCAGCAGCATGTGAAAATGCATTTTCGGCATTCGCGGTATTGTGGCGTCACTTTTAAGGTCCATGCTTGGTTGCATGTGCGGCAGAGCTTTGTTGACGATACCCTATGACTAAAGGAAAGGTATTGCGATTTTGTTATATGTATGTAGTTGCAACCATCTATAAATTATTCATTTCTGTGCAGAGGAACACTTTCAGTCGCCGGCTCAATTGAAAGGGTAAGCTGTACAGGTTGATTTTCCAGGCAAGTTGAGCCACTTGCTAAGCCGATTACTCAAGCCAAAGTCAATGAGTTGGATGGCCAAGTTGAAAGTTGAACCGGACACATAAACAGGAATGATGAACAGGAAATTATACCGGGAAGACTTCACAGAAATGTTGATATCTTTAAAATTTAATTGAATTTGACGTAATTAAACAAGGTGAAAACAAGCCAATTAATGTGAAAGTAAATAAGTAAAAATTGATTTTAAATATATGATGAGTAAGCAGAAAAATGTTTGAACAAGGAAATTTAGGAAACTGGATATTCAAAAAATTTTTAAAAAGTTAAACTTAAGTGTGATGTTATAATTTTACTTTAAATTTTAAAAAAATGGTATACGATATTGTTAATATAAAGAAAATGAGAGTTAGAGCCCAAAAAAGAGAATGATGTAAAAAATGTTTTTAAGAAACGAAAAAAAGTCCAAAGACAAAACCGCAAGGCTAAAGTCTTAATAGGTAATTCATCGCCTTTGTGAGGTGATTTAACAAAGGGCATATACTCAGCTTTTCCAAGTGGCTCGGAACAATTGAAAATTCGTTCAGCTGGCAGTTTGAGCCAACTTAGCCCCGCCAATCTCGCAGTGGCCATCTCGCAGCGATTCTCAGCGCAGACCGCAGAGCATCTGGCATTCGATTGCCATAGAGATCTACACTCTTTATAAGGCCTTTGCACGCGAACCAGACGCTGATGTATATCATCATGTAATACCCGAGAAATGTGTAACGATGAGGCAATGCCAGCCGACTCGACTCGACTCGACTCGGATGATTATGATATGATATGCCAGAGAATCGGGACCCCTTGGCTCGTAAAAATTGACAATGCTAATGGGGCGACGGAAATCGGGCATTAGCGAGCAGTAATTTGCATAAGAAATCGGCTTGGATTCGGGATGCACAATTAGATGCCCAGCCACGTTTTTCTCCGTAAACGTGGACGTGGTCTTCAAGTACTCTGGGCGGCTTAAGTGGCAGTGGAGGTAGAACCAATCTTGACCGCTTGCAACTTACACATAACGGAAGAGCTAATGGAGCCACTCGTTCCAAAAAGACAGAGAAAGGCTACAAACGAAAAAAAAAGGAGAAAAGAAATCATATGCAACGAAATTTCTTCCTGGCCAGTCTGGCAAAAATTGCAAAACTGGTCCACCGTGACCCACTAAGGCCTCTCTTTACTTTTTACTCGAAAATCAGCCACCGAAAGTTGACTTTAACACTGACGCTTGCCACCAGGTTCAAACGGACCCACTCTCTTATTTTTGTTTTTGAGGTGGAGCTTACGTGCGTCACGTTTACTGGGAACTTCCGTTAATTGATTTTAAAATACAACGAGAACTCATCGCCGGTATTTTTAGACCATGTGCAAAAACGTTTATTCGCAACTTTCACTTTGCTGAAAACGTTTAATCGAACGAGGAAGATAAGGTTCTCATTAAAGGTGAGATCATTGGTTATTTGGTGGGTGAATTCAAACATAACAAATTGATTACAGTGCTTTAAATTAATCAACATTTAAGTATAGTTATTTGTTAAATATATAAATGAATATACATTCTTAAATTTCCTTTCTACACAAGGGTTAAAAACTGTGGCTCAATGCGTTTTCGGCAAGTAAACAAGATTAAGAAAAGAGACAACAATAAAATACAGCTAGCACGGCTTCATTGGTTTTGCGGTTAAAATGTTGCAACTAGAACGAGCAATGCCACAAAACTTGGACAGCAAAGCAACACAATAAGTAAATGAGTTTAAAGTCGAAACTGTAATACACTTAACTTTTGTTCAGAAAATTAAACTATATATATTATATATATTTATATACAATATATATATTATATACAAATCTTTTATCTTAAATAAAGAATCTTTAAAATGCTTGAAGTTAGAAGCTATAAAATCTGATGCTCCAATTTGCTAAGAACCTACCAACTGAAAAGAACCTATCATAAAATCATAATCGCAGCTTCACCCACTTTTGGCCAAACTAATGACACCCCTTTTCAAACGGCCATCAAAACCCCGACAAAGCGATAGAAAACTGGCGAATCTATAAAAATGCAAATTAGAAGAAGCGAAAAAAATCCAATAAACGACTCCAGAAACTGGAACGGACAAAGTCTGTGATTCAGAGACCCAAACTCCGACTAAGACTCCGATTTGGATTGAGATCGAGGCGGCAGAGATAAACGTTACTCGTGCTATTGCCTCTGGGCCAAGAAAGAGTTGGCCAGGCTGTGTGATCTATGGGCTGGCCAGCCCAATTGGTCAAGAAGTAATTTGGGTTAACTGCAGCTGCAACACGCTGACGATCGGCAAACTCTGGCCAATTAATTGTGCGGAAATCTGCGCGGCGCGTCATAAACTACTGTCACTTTTTCATCTTTTTTTAGCCCACAATGGGAAGTTGCTCCTCTGGAAATGGAATTGTGCACCTGCACAATAATCAATGCGAAAGTGCACGGAAAAAATTCTTAACTGAAAGATTAAAGGGAAAATTAAATGAAATATTAAATAAAAACTTAAAATTCACTATCAAATGTACTTTATTTTATACTCAACAATTTGCATTTTAAATCTACAAATTGCAAATTATACAATGTCGCATATTTAAATTCGTTGTTATTCTTTTTTTTTTGCTTTATATTGGAAAGGAGACACTTGATAAATATTCATGTTGAAGTATTAAATTTGACATGTATTTGGCTGTCAATTTAAAAGCCATTTACAGCCATGCCTAGTCAGACCTGTTATATTTTTTTCCGTGCAGTTGGCTGGAGGCATTCTTGCGTGCAAACCTTGACCATGAAACACGCTCCGCGATTAGATGACGTGCCCATAAAAGCGGCAAGCAACAATCCCAAACATTTCCCTGGCAATTAAGAGGCACAGAAAATTAGTAAGAAATTGAAATTGCTCAACTGCCTTCGTTGGCCACGTTTGCGATCACGTTTACGTTGGTGGACGATGGTCAATGGCACTCGCTCGCCTGCAGGTTGTGCAAGCCCCCACTTTGTGCGACAGTTACATCTATATACGCTCGGCCAACTGGTTTTCCGGCCACAAAAAAAAAACCAACAAACAAACAAAAACAACCAAAAATAATAATAAACGAAGCAAAACAACCGTTTTGGACCGGCCTCCAAGGCACGCCACCAAAATGGAGCCATTGCCGGTATGTCAATTAGCAGCCGGTCGACATGACAGTGCACTGAACTTGTTACGCTTAAATTGTTGATAAGCCCGCTGTTTATGATTTGTTAATGTAAATGTTGCCCACCGGCCACATACGACACACTGAGTTGCGGCAACCGCTCGGAATTGGCCATTAACCCATTCTCCAGCCAGGTTCTGAAGATGCTACAACTCGGGTTTAGCCTGCGAATTTAATATTATATTCATTGAGTCAGGGATTTAATTTTTGCTATTAGCTTTGCTAAGTTGCTAAGTCATGCTTTTAACGGAATTATCTGGCAATAATCAATTATTACCTAATCGCTGAATTCGTTCGCTTAAGAATTTAATTCAATTAGTTCAGTGACATTATTTAATTAGGAACTAAGCCCGCAATTAACATTGTTGCATTAAATCATTTTATCTCCTTGTTAATATGGATTAAGAACTTCGATTAAATAATACTTTTTATTTATATGATTCAAGCAGAGATTTCAAAAGAATATATTTCTAAACATTTCTCCATAAACCGATTGTATGATATCTCATCTTATCAAAAGTACAGAAGTTCAGTGGGTTAAGCAGAGCGCGCGCTCATTCCGATTAGAGATTACAGATATGTGATAGATATATGCGTTATATACGATACTGCGATATTTGCCGAGAGCTGCTGCTCTTCCGATGGTGGCAGCAGTGGGAGAGAGTGAGCCAGCATACTATATATAGGTGGCTATATGTTCTCGTGTGGATGTGACAGATGTCCGTGATTGTTTGTATAGAACGGCGCAAGTGAAATGGGCAAATCGAAAAGAGCAGTTGTGTTTGGTTTGTGAGGCTGCCAAGAGCGGAAAGCGAGCGCGGACGATGAATAAAATATTTGGAGTATTGTGCTCCCTCTGCCTTCTGCTGCTGATTTGTTTGGCGTCTGCAAATGGACAATCCCTGGAAAATGTCACCGAGGTGACCCCAACATCGACTACAACAACGGATGCCCCGTTGCCCAAACTCCTGGTGGCCATTCATTACGAGGCCCTGTGTCCCGATAGCATGTACTTCATCCGTCGCCGACTTTACGATGCCCTCGTGGACAACAACTGGTGGCCCGTCACCGATCTGAAGCTATATCCCTTCGGCAAGGCTGGGGTGAGTATGTCGATATAGAAAATAATGCTTGCTTTATTCATCATATAGCAAAAAGGCACTCCGTTTTTATTTTTTCTATTAATTCATTTGAGTTGAAATGTGGCTCTATAAAATCTAGATAGAAGTTAAGCACATAAAAATCCCATGCAATAATGATCTTTGTATATTTTTTTTAGATTATAATTTATAGTTTCATATATTTCTAATTTTTGTATCAATATGATTTTCAGTTCTACAACAATACCTCCACTGGTCAAATGGAGGTTTTCTGTCAGCACGGCGAGGATGAGTGCGAGCTGAATGCCCTGCATGCCTGCATTATTGAAACTTTGGATACAAGGACTGCCTTCAACCTGATTTTCTGTATGCTCCGATCCTACTCCAATCAACTGGACCACTGTTCCAGGAGCATGGGTTTGAATGTGAGCAAAGCCAAGGATTGCAAGGCATCGCGTAAAACCCCAGAGATCCTGGCGCCTTATGGCAAGGAAACCCTTAAGCTGGGCCTCTCCTTTGTGCCCAGCATTGTGTTCGAGAATGTGAGTGATTATATACGAAGCAAATTGCCAAGCTTATATTTAATTTATAATGATTTTCCAGGACTTTGATCCCTATGGACAGAGCAGCATTCGCTACAACTTTGATAGGCATTTCTGTAAGCAGTATTTGAAGAAGTTTAACGTCACACTGCCCACTTGTGCTGCAATTTTATAATTTAAAAAGAAAACGCAATATGATTAATAACCCCTTTAATGTGCCACGACCAATAAATAATAATTACACTCAACTGGTCAGTTGGGAAACGTGTTTGCTTTTCAGCTGACTCATTAAAGGCAAATACAAATTTAAATAGATCAGCTTATCAGCCGCATTCTTGTATACAGATCCTAATCAGGAACAGCTGTCTGGCTAAAAATAAGACGAAAACCCGCTGTTTAGTTGTGTTGCCGTAATCAGTTGAGGTTTTCGTTTGCTTTGTTTTGGACTCAGCATGAATCCCCACTAACAGCAGGGGCGTCAACAGAAAAAGGGGAGCTTTTCTTAGAAAAACGAAAACGTAAGTGTAATTCAGCTTCTCATTTCGCTATGTACCTCACAACCGATGACAAATTTACTGAATTAATAATTATTCTGATGACAGAAGTTAATAAAAAAATGTCGGAGCTATTTTACCCCTTTTCTTAAAAATCAGACTACGCCACTGGCCGCTTTGAAATTGACGAAACGCAGCGTTGACGCAGGGAATAACAAATCTTGACTTTATTCAGTGTCGAGCGGTCGCTGGCGTTGAGCGGCTGCAAATTTCAAGATCAGCTTTGAAATCAACTGAAACTGCCATGAAGGCGATCATCTTTGTCTGCCTTCTTCTGGGATGGGTGGGCGTGGCCACGCCAAGGGTAAGTGACCCAGTTGGAGCCCCATCGCGGCGATCACTGAACGCGACTTTGCAGCGTCATCGAGGCCAGCAGACTGACAGACTGCCAGTTACCCTGTACTACGAGGCGTTGTGTCCCTATTGCATGGAGTTCGTCACCACCCAACTTGGTCCTTCGATGGTGCGAATGAACCGACTGCCGTACACGAATCTTAAGCTGATTCCCTATGGAAATGCCAGGGTATGTTTTAAATCCTAGTTATCTTATATAACTAACATTACTGTACAAATGATGTGATTGGTTTTAAAAGTCTTACTAGTTAAAAAATCGGGCACAACAAAGTTAAAAAGTTGCAGTAAATATTTATCATAAAATTAAGTATAGGTACTATTGGTTATACTATTGGTTAACCAAAAATCTTGGCTTTTAAGCATTGAAAGTAGCCAATAATTTTTTCCATACCAAAACTGTAGTTAATCATTTTTTAGTGGACAAGCAAGTTGCAAATTCAGTAAAATCTCGGATCAAACGACGATTAAAACCCGGTCTTATTGAGTTTACTGACATCCATCAGCCTTAATACCCACTTAAACTGCACTTAATCCCCACCAGAGCGACGACTCCGGAAACGTGGTCTGCCAGCACGGGGAGCTGGAATGCGAGCTGAACGCCTGGCACGCCTGCATACTGGAGCACCATGACATCGGCGAGTCCCTGAAGCTGATTGCCTGCATGATGAGGGGCAAGAAGAACAGGCTGGACAAGTGCGCTGACCGCTATCAAATCGATGTGGGCGATGTCAAAAGCTGCAGGAAGACGCGCGCGGTGAACGACATTCTGGAGAAGTACGGCGAGGAAACGGCCAAGGTTTCGTTTCAGGGAGTGCCAGCCATTGCTTTGGATAATGTAAGCTAAGGTAATGAAACAGTAATCAAATGTACTGAACTCCTTTGGTTTCCAGGTTTATGATGCGGATATCTCAGCGAATTTGACTGACCATTTCGATGCCATATTTTGCGCCACGTACAAAGAAAAGTTCCATAAGAAGCTAGACAACTGCCAGTAAAATCGAATGTGTTAGCAAAATAAATTAACCACATTCTTAATCACAGCTTTCTTTTTAAGCAAAAACTTCTAGTTTAAACTTACCCAAATTTATAAAAAAAAATTTGGTTTTGATTTCTCATGTTTGTGGGTAGTAAAAAAAAACGATAATGAATCGTTTTGCCAAATTTAATAAGAAGAATAAAAGTTATAATTAATAAAATGTCCACATTAAAATATTTCTACAGAGATTACAATGACTTAAGATTTTAGCCCCTAAGCTGCAGGACACATTGTAAAACATATATTACCCAGGAAAGCAAAGCGGCAAAAATGAAAAGGAATAACTTCATTGAAACATCACAAAGGCCAAGCAAGTTGACCCTCAACTCCAACAAGTTAAGACTGATGATAAACTCTTCCACCTATAAAAGGAAACCACAAGTAAATATTTTATAAGTCATTATAGGTATATTGTATTTACCGTTCTCTGCATGTCTTTATGTTCGCCAAAAGGGATAATCTCCCAGTTAATTTCGCGAATCCTTTTTCCCTGATTTACAGCTCCTTCAACACACGAGCTCAAAAGTAAGAGATCATGTATTGTTTTCACGATAAAAAACCACGTCCAAAAGTCATAAAAATTGATCCTTGCGATCATGCTATGGGATAATATTACGACGTCACAAAAAAAATTAATCAAGCTGACAAATAGGTTCAGGTTGAAGATCTCCTGGAAGCTGTCGGTAATGGCCGAAATCTCCCTGAAAAGGTTCAGCGCCTCCAGCAATCGACGATGATTTTTTCTTTGCCGAATAAGGCTGAGATTTCCATGCGGATGCTGCAATTTCTTTATCTCAAAACGGATGCAATCGATCACCTCGGAGTACAGAACTCCCACGGCAATGTACCAGATTATACTAATGCGTACGACGATGTGACTGATTAAAAAGACGTAAGCGAAGTTTATATCGAAAATTGCAATAAAAGCACAAAACTCCAGAGCAATGGGCAGAATAATTCTCAAAATCAGCACCAACTCTCGTGTTCCTCCGAAATCAACAATTTTGCGTCTGGCCTGGGATCTTACTTGCCAAAAAAGTCGCAGGAGTCTATTGACCACTTTTGTTACGCGTTTTCCATTTACAAGCTGAAAACGGAGAATCCACAGATAGGAGAAAATGGCAATCATCAGGTGAAGGAAGGGTATTATCAGATGGGTCCAATCGGTTCTTCCAAACGACCGAACGACATAGTTTTTGATGTACATGCACAGTGGTAAAATCCGACAAAGCACAAAAATCCATTTCCACCAGAAGCGGCGAGTGCAAAGCACATCCTCTATTTCCAGTACACCCTCTTTTCCTTTTTTTGAGCGAAGGAAGGCTAAGCCCACAAAGTTAGTGCAGTAATACATTCCGCTTAGTAGAACCGCTGACACTTTTGAAGCTCCCATTACTTTAAGGTCTCTCTTTTGACTGAACTAGGAAAGTATTCGCAACCATCACACTTTCACTCCAAAGGAATTAAAATATGGACAGCTCCCTTGATATCGCCTAGCCGAATGACAGCTTTTGATAAAGATCGTGGTTCTCATTGGCACACTTGTTGATTTAATTTCCATTATTTTGTTTACTTTTCCTAAACTTTATTTTGACTAACTTACCCTTTGCACACTTTTTTAAGCTATACTTAAGAGAAATTGAATACTTTAGACTTGTTGATATCATCACAACGATGAAATGAATAAAATTTGGTTTATATACTTCATAATTTTAATTTCCAATTTCGCGCCAATGTGGCGCCATCTAGGTCAGCATTTGAGACCATATCTCTCGTGGTTGGGTGGAAGTACTTGCTAGGTTGGGAGGTTGAATTCGATAGGTTAGGAGTTGTATTCGATATGTTATGAGGTTTTATTCGATATTTTAGGAGGTTGTACTCGCTAGGTTAGGAGGGTGAATTCGCTAAGCTATAAATCGGCGAAAGCGCCCCCAGCGGAAGAAAAGTGAATCGTAAAAGTATTTTCTTCTTTCAATTTTTTTTTACGATACCTTTGTTTTTGCAGCCCTAACTTTTGCAACACGCGAGAAATAATTTTTTTTAAGTTTTTCGCGGATTGCTGGTAAATCGCTGGATTAAAGCCGAATTTGAGAGTGCGAGGAAAACGCGATATGAGCGAGACCATAAACACCGCGGCGCAGTTCCCGACCTTCGAGAAGCCGACCGTGCAGTTCAACGAGAAGGGATGGGGTCCCTGCGAGCTGCCCGACACCTTCAAGGATGTGCCCTACCAGCCGTTCAGCAAGAACGATCGTCTGGGCAAGATCTGCGACTGGACGAGCACCTCGAACAACGACAAGAAGTACCAGAGTGAGTAGTAGTGTGTTGTGTGGTGTCACAGAAAATCCAAAACGTCGGCTTTCCGGTGAAAGTGAGGTTATGTTGGTGTGTCGTGGCAGGTAATTTAATGATATTCGTATCCCCCAGATAAGTACGCGTCCAGCTTTGGCACGGGCAACCAGTACTCGTACTACCACGAGGAGGACGAGACCACCTTCCACCTGGTGGACACGGCTCGCGTCCAGAAGCCGCCGCACCAGCGCGGTCGCTTCCGCAACATGAGAAACTCGCGCTCCGGACGCGGACGAAACGCCCGTGGTGGCTTGAATACCCACGGCATGACCACGCTGAGCGGCAAGAATGTGAAGGCCCGAGATCCGCGTCACGGTCGCGGCATGGGCAAGAAGTTCGGACACCGCGGCCCACCGCCCAAGATGCGCGAATCCTCGGTGGCCGTGCGCGCCGATTGGGCCTCCATCGAGGAGATGGACTTCCCCCGGCTGATCAAGCTGTCGCTGCCGAACATCAAGGAGGGCGTCGACATCGTCACCTGCGGCACGCTGGAGTACTACGACAAGACCTACGACCGCATCAACGTGAAGAACGAGAAGCCGCTGCAGAAGATCGATCGCATCGTGCACACTGTGACCACCACAGACGATCCCGTCATCCGGCGCCTCTCGAAGACCGTCGGCAATGTCTTCGCCACGGACGCCATTCTGGCCACCATCATGTGCTCCACGCGATCGAACTACTCCTGGGACATTGTCATCGAGAAAGTCGGTAAGTGAAATCGCAAACAGGAGATGTGTTTCTAAAGGGGAAACCTTTTTAGAAGTTATAATTATTAGAAGTTATAATTATTAATCTCTTTAGGGAGTTTTATAAGTTTACCTTCTGGTCATATATAATATCCCATTTATTTCGCAGGGGACAAGATCTTCATGGACAAACGTGACCACACTGAGTTCGATCTGCTGACCGTGAACGAGAGCAGCGTGGAACCCCCAACCGACGATGACAGCTCTTGCAACTCGCCCCGCAACCTGGCCATCGAGGCCACCTTCATCAACCACAACTTCAGCCAGCAGGTGTTGAAAACTGGCGACCAGGAGCCCAAGTTCAAGTTTGAGGAGGGCAACCCCTTCATCAGCGAGGATGAGGACATCCAAGTGGCCAGCGTGGGCTATCGCTACAAGAAGTGGGAGTTGGGAAGCGATATTGTGAGTAACCCTTCTAACAATTTAAAGTTAAATTCTAACTGATAAAAAGTTAAAAAACCTTGGCTTTTTAATGACTCATGGCACCAAGATTTTAATAGAATCAAAAATTCAGAATAAATGTTTGCTTGGTGACTACCCCATAATCTGAATACAATGTTAAATGGTTTCATTACTTAAAGTTTAAGTATGAAGCTTATCTTGTTTGTATTTAATTCTTAACCTAAGCTCGAATTTTTTACTTATAAAATTTTAAATGTCTCATGGCACAAAGATTTTAATAGAATCAAAAATTCAGAATAAATGTTTGCTTGGTGACTACCCCACAATCTGAATACAATGTTAAATGGTTTCATTACTTAAAGTTTAAGTATGAAGCTTATCTTGTTTGTATTTAATTCTTAACCTAAGCTCGAATTTTTTACTTATATAATTTTAAATGTCTCATGGCACCAAGATTTTGATAGAATCAAAAATTCAGAATAAATGTTTGCTTGGTGACTACCCCACAATCTGAATACAATGTTAAATGGTTTTATTACTTAAAGTTCAAGTATGAAGCTTATCTTGTTTGTATTTAATTCTTAACCTAAAGCTCGAATTTTTTACTTATATAATTTTAACAATCTATTTTTAAGTCCAAGTATACTAAGTAATTATATGGTTTATTTCTTTTAGGTTTTGGTAGCACGTTGCGAACACGATGGTGTCCTCCAGACGCCCAGCGGTGAGCCGCAGTTCATGTCCATCAAGGCGCTCAATGAGTGGGACTCGAAGCTGGCCAACGGCGTGGAGTGGCGCCAGAAGCTGGACACGCAGCGCGGAGCCGTGCTGGCCAACGAGCTGAGGAACAACGCCTGCAAGCTGGCCAAGTGGACCGTGCAGGCCGTGCTGGCCGGGTCCGATCAGCTCAAGCTCGGCTACGTGTCGCGCATCAATCCTAGGGACCACTCTCGCCACGTCATCCTGGGCACGCAGCAGTTCAAGCCGCACGAGTTCGCCACCCAGATCAATCTGAGCATGGACAACGCCTGGGGAATATTGAGGTGCATCATCGATCTGGTGATGAAGCAGAAGGACGGCAAATATTTGATCATGAAGGACCCCAACAAGCCGATCATCCGTCTGTACGATATCCCAGACAACACATTCGACTCCGATGACTCGGACGATGGCGAGGGCGACGACGAGGGATTCCAGCAGGTCTACAACTACGCGCACAACAAGATTTAGACGCCACGCCCCCACTGCAGCACCCTTCCAGTTTTGGACTTGAGCCACAACCCGCTAAACATAATCCCACGTCTGATGGCCTCTGGAGGAAACCGCCCGGTTCTGGGCCCTAGCTTAAGCATTTGTATTCGAGATAAATCCAGCTTTTTCCTAGTAAAATGCAGAGGGCAAAAAATGTTTGCATTTTTATGGGTCGTGGTCATGATAATACAAGTGATAAGGATTTCATAAAATTAAATAATTAAGAACTCTGAATCAGCGCTTGAAGAGCGTTATCAAACCTAAGCTCAGCCAACTTGAATTAAATCATCGACTAGTATGACTTCGTCTCTTGGAAGGTCAAGATGTTTTTCGGACAAACGGTGTTTCTATTACTTGTGCTTCAGTTTTTACTTCTACCAAATTGTGCTAAATCGGAGGATAACAATCAAAAATGTATACGTTATTACTTTTTAATGTGTATTATTATTCTGAAATATTATTATTTTTATACCCTTGCAGAGCATAAGGGTATTATAATTTCAGTCAAAAGTTTGCAACGCAGTGAAGGAGACATCTCAGACCCCATAAAGTATATATGGGTGATTCCATATCAGATTTACAGTCGATATTGAGAAATTCGATGAGATATTTTTTTCTTGCTCTTTATAGAAAATAAATCGACACGTATTTTTTTATATGGCTCAGAAAATTTTTTGACAAAGTTATGATTTTTTGAACTTTTGATGAACTGCCCTTTTTTTGATGACAGTCGCGTTTTCCAGCCCCAATAACTTGAAAACCGTACGTCGCAGGAAAAAAATATATAGGAAGTAAAAATTTCATCCTTCCTTCTTCTTTGCAAAACTTTCGTGAAAAAATTTTTTTAAACAATTTTTCACCACAAAAAGTTCAAATGTTTATAACAAATTAATTTTTCTCCAACTTGGACCATTTTGATTTTTTTTTTTTCACAGTAAGGCCTTCAAATTCTTCTGATGAACATACTAAAGTTTCAGAATGGTATCAAAATTAGTTTTTGAGTTACAGAATTTTAAAGATTATCATGCACGGTCCGCGCGCTCGGTCTCAGGGCGTGCGCCGACCAACGACTCTAACGAGCGTCAATTCGCTTCGCGCGCGCATAGTAAGGGTCAATAAAATGAATTTTTAATGCTATTTAATTCTATAACTCAAAAACTAATTTTGATACCATTCTGAAACTTTAGTATGTTCATCAGAAGAATTTGAAGGCCTTACTGTGAAAAAAAAAAAAATCAAAATGGTCCAAGTTGGAGAAAAATTAATTTGTTATAAACATTTGAACTTTTTGTGGTGAAAAATTGTTTAAAAAATTTTTTCACGAAAGTTTTGCAAAGAAGAAGGAAGGATGAAATTTTTACTTCCTATATATTTTTTCCTGCGACGTACGGTTTTCAAGTTATTGGGGCTGAAAAACGCGACTGTCATCAAAAAAAGGGCAGTTCATCAAAAGTTCAAAAAATCATAACTTTGTCAAAAAAATTTTCTGAGCCATATAAAAAATACGTGTCGATTTATTTTCGATAAAGAGCAAGAAAAAAATATCTCATCGAATTTCTCAATATCGACTGTAAATCTGATATGGAATCACCCATATATTCTTGATAAGCATCACGAGTAGAATCGGAATACGTCTGTACGTCTGTCCGTTTCCGCGCAAACTAGTCTCTCAGTTTTAAAGCTATCTTGCTGAAATTTTCCCAAAAGGTGTGTAGTTATTGCACGCAGTATATATGTAAGTCGGATCGGCCGACTATATCGGATAGTTCCCATACGAGAGAATGAAATAAAAAATTCTCACGCCATTTTTTTTGATCGGATCGACTTGATTTCTTCAAGATGGCGTTTTTAAACTGTTATTGAATTTCGGAATAAATTTAATCAAAATCGGATAACTCTATCATACAGCTGCCATAGGAGAGATCGAAAAATATATATAGAATTAATGGAAATAAATTGATAACATCGTTTTTTTTTATCCCACGAGCATGATTTTTTCAATATCAACTTTTTAACAACTCTTATATTGAGAAAAAAGTTTCATAAAAATCGGACAACTATATCTTGTAGCTGCCATAGAAAAGATCGAAAAATCTATATAGAAATAACGGAAATAAAATTATAACACCGTTGTTTTTCATCAGACAAGTATGACTTATGGAATATAGAGTTTCCTTACGACTCTTGAATTACAAATTAAATTTGATCGAAATCGGACAACTATATCATATAGCTCCCATAGTCGAAAATATGGAAAATGATTAGAAAAATCGTTTTAGCTTCGATGTTGTTTAGCCTTTATGCGTTTTGTTCGACATATTTGATGACTGCAAGGGTATATAAGCTTCGGCTTGCCGAAGCTACATAGCTTCCTTTCTTGTTATTATTACCTGCAGGACTGTGAAACAGCACATTTAAAATGTTTTTCTTAATGCAAATCTCCACCAGGGTTCCCGGCTTGCCATCCGGAGGAGAAGTGCGTTCCTTTAGGCTCTTGCCCATTTCTGCTCAGGAAAACGTTGCAGAAACCAATGCCCCAGGACGATAAGAAATTATTGGGAAGCAAGCTGTGCAATTATCGTGAAGCTCCTGAACCAACCCAAGCTTATTTTGTGTGCTGCCAGGTGCTGCCGAAGTCCTGCGGCCAACTTCCGCCCGATTTCAGAGTTATTGGCGATATAGCGCAACTTAACGGTTATCCCTGGATGGCCATGCTTCTATACCAACATCCCCGGGACCAGGCCACATTCTATACCCAAGAGTGTGCAGGATCCCTGATCAATAAGCGGTATGTCGTGACCGCAGCCCACTGCATAAATCCTGGGCGCCTTCTTTTAAAGATGGTGCGTCTGGGCGAGCACAATATTTCGACTGCTATAGACTGTGTAAACAACGAATGTGCCCCACCACATCTGGATATCGCCATCAAAGAGAAAATCATCCATGAGGGCTATGACAGCCAAAGCCTTCGCAACGACATCGCCTTGCTGCGACTCGAATATCCAATATAGTGAGTAAAAACCTTTTGTCATAATATTTTTTCTCTTTTTGGATTTTCCATTACAAAATTAGGAGAATAGAAAATTTACTTGTAACAGTATATCATTTAGGCATCCTCTTGTTTATATTCCTACAGCTATTCGAATGCCATCAAACCCATTTGCGTTATACCCAGCTATGACTTCAATAACCATTTTTTCATCAACGAGTCTATGACAGTGGCCGGCTGGGGGGTTACGCAAACGGGTCGTCGTAGTGACGTGCTGAGGAGAACTACCGTAAAGGGAAGAGACTCAACAAAATGCACACAGCCATTCAGAGAGTCCACCCTTTGTGCACTTTCAACTGATGGAACTGATACCACACGCGGCGACTCCGGCGGTCCTCTAATGGCCAGAATGGGAAATCCAATTAATGAATCTGTATACTTAGCCGGGATTACCTCATATGGTAGTGAGAATTACGGTATGACTGGTTCTTTTTACACAAGAACTGAATACTTCATCGATTGGATAAAGGAGAAGTTAAAACCTTCGTCGCAAGATGAGTTTTAATAACTCCAAGATCAATAAATAAAAAAAAAAACAATAACAAAAATTCCAAAAATAATACGAAATCTTATTAAACTTCGCTCAAAGCATGAACAACTTAAAATTTAAATTTTGTAAACTAAAACAACCATTATTAAAAAAGCTTGTAATCTTTCAGAAGTCAAATTAAAACATTATTTTTGTGAAATAAACCTACTCAATAAATAAATTCAACTTTTGTGCGCGTGATTCAAAATGTATATATTGAAACCTCTTGGGAAAAACCAAAACGTAGCCGCGCAAGTTGTTATCGTTTTATTCGGAATTTAAGCAGTTTATCTCAGAACTTCGCAAGACGAACATGTGCGCACTGAAAATGTTTTTGTATTTTGTGGTGCTTTACACATTTTTGTTGGCAAATGGTCAGCAACAATCAGGTAAGTTTTTAATGTATAAAGCATTTATTTAGCTATTTTAAAAAGAAGGGAAACAAGCAAGATAAATAAATCAGTTCCGGCTTTAAAGCATTTTTCTTTCAGTTTTAACCACTACCACTTTCAGTTGAATTAAGCTGTAAGTTTTTTGCTATTTGCTAGTGTAATCATACTCATGTAGAAAGACGCGGGATAGAACGACCAAATAAAAACCAAATCATATCTTGTTTCATTAAGTCCAATGCACCATTGAACATTTATTATGCGCTTTTTATGCCACAGATAGCCAGTCCTGCGGAAGGGTTCCGCTCGCTCTGCGAGACTCGGTTGGCCAACAAATGAACCTTTTCCCCTGGATGGCCCTGCTTACCTACAAGAACCGCCTCACCTCGGAACCGGATGGGAACCCCCAGTCCCTGAGTGCGGGCTCCCTGATCCACAAACGCTACGTTCTGACCGCAGCTAATTGCGTAATCCGCAGGGAACTAATACAAAGGGACATAGTGCTCAAGGGAGTTCGCCTCGGAGAGCATAATATATCCTCCAATCCCGACTGCATCACGGAACGGGATCGGACCAGATGCGCTCCTCCGCATCTGGAAGTCGACGTGGAACAGATTATCGTACATGGGGACTACCGAATGGACGTCCCCTACCAGAACGACATCGCCCTACTGCGACTCGATCGGCCGGTGGTGTGAGTATGCAAACGAGATCCTTGTGAGGAATATGTTATACAGCCAATATATATCTCACAGCTACACCGCGGCAATCCAACCAATTTGTATTCAGGGCGGAGGCGACCAAGGGAATCGCTCAAACTCCCATCTAATAGCCGGTTGGGATTTAGGGAACGAGCGATGCCCCGGACAAGAACTTCTGCACAGTCACATAAAGAAATTGCCATCAGTCGCATGCTCAAGGCATCCGAACTTCGACGCCTCGTCCAAGATTTGTGCCGGTGGTCAGGATGCCTGTGTGGTCATCTCGGGAGGGCCGCTGATGACCTCCATTGGACATGGCTTAGACGAGTTTGTCTACTTGGCCGGCATCACCTCCTATGAATTTAAAACTAGCAGCCAGAAAGTCAATCCAGTTGTTTTTACAAAAACTGAACATTTTTTGAGTTGGATAATCAAATATTTGCGGCCATGAAGGTCTACAAAAAAAAAATAACAAATATATATCACTGCATTACTAATTTAATATGTGAGCTTGTTTATGATAAATTAATCAGTAAGACTAAGAGAAAATATAAAAAAAAATTGTTTTGCTTTTTATTCTCACAAAGTTTTGTTAAAGTATGTAGTATCCATTTAACTTCGAAGCTGAAAACATGCGTTTGTGGTTTTGCTGAACCCATTTGTTGAGTCGAGTAGAGAAAGATAAAACACACCAAGAATAAAAATGCTCCTCGTTTCGATTTGCTTTAGCTTACTATTTATAGAGTTCCATCTAATAGCACATTTTGCTGAAACTGGTAATTATCGCACAGAGTCAAAGACTTCATAAAGATAATTTTAAATTTGTATTTTCTTTTCAGTCTCTTACGGCTGCCAAAAGGGTAAAATATTAATAAGGTCCATTGAGTGCCCAGCTTTCAAAGCCAATGCAAGGCGGGACCTTCCTAGTTACATCTGCTGCCCAGGTAATAAGCTTTTTAGTTAAGCGTTGAATTGTAGCTTTCTAATTTATGTCTGCTATATCAGCTAGTTCACTATGTAAACATAATGAGGAATACGTCCGGGCGGACAAGTGCTCCACCAAGAAGGGCGCTTATAAATCTAGAAGAAGAGCCGCATGGACCAACGTCTGCTGTCCAAAGACCGCGCCAATACCTCTTGACTGGACCAAATGCGGCGTGGCACCAACTAAAATAAGTTACCGAGTGTCGGTTGGCAAGTCCGTTGAGGGGAATAAATATCCTTGGATGGCCCTGCTACTGTACACTAATGAATCTTTTAAGCCTTCAATCATCAACACTGACCTTGTGCCGCAATGTGGAGGGTTCTTGATCCACCCGCGACACGTCATCACCGCTGCTCACTGTGTGTGGACTACACCGCATAATGGCTGGAAGACAACTCTTAAGAGTGTGCGATTGGGGGCACATCGCCCCCAATATCTGGATGTCGAAGTGAAGGAAGCTTTAGTTCATGACAAGTACCGCGCCACTCGCAGGTATGAAAACGACATCAGCCTGTTGCGACTCAAAGATAAAGTAAGGTATGTAGCCAACTCAAGCTTAGTAATTTACTTTTTGCTGTCACGGTAGCTTGAATTTATTTATTCAATTTATCTATACTTGATGATCAAAACCTTCTTCTTTAGCTATTCGTTCAACATCCAACCGATTTGTGTCCCCAAACAAAATATCAACTTAATGAACTCAAAACTGGAAATTGCCGGCTGGGGCATAATGTCAAATGGGAGCACCAGCACAGGATTGTTGTGGAACACTGTTGAACAAATTCCCCAAAGCACCTGTTTCGCAAAAAGCCCTTATGATTTCGTCCAAAAAACCCAAATTTGTGCCCTTGGTAAGAACGGAATTGAACCCTGCGATGGCGATTCGGGTGGACCTCTAATGGTGACTCAAGGAAACGAGGGAAGGGTTTATGCAGCTGGTATCGTCTCCTATGGAAAACAAAAATGTGGACAAGTAGGCGAGCCGACTTATTTCACAAACACTGCAATGTTTTATAAATGGATAACGGACAAGATCAGAGAAATGGAAAAAAAAATGCGGGGAAGTAGGCGAGCCAACTTATTTCACAAACTCTGCATATTTTCTTTATAAATGGATAACAGACAATATCAGAGCTTCAATTTCAAAAATAACTATAAATCTTTTATTTTCTTGGCTCTCAAATCATATCTTATTCAATACTATGATTTATAAATATTATTATGTTAACCTTTGAAATCAAATAAAAACTGTATTGCACTATGCATTCTCAAAAAATGTATATTTGTTTAATATATACTTTTTTTATCATTTTTATTCAAGACAAAGTAGTTGTGAAAGGAATTTTAATGCGATTGCCAAAATTTCAATTTCGCCAAAAAATAAAAAACATTCCTCATTCAAAGCAGATACGCCGCATTGGAAGATATATATAGTAGTTTCAGCCTAAGCTTTGGCGCACAAACATGTTTATCGGCATAAGAATCGGGACTTTGTTGCTACATTTCGCATTTCTTTTGGCAAATGTGCAGGGATATCAAAGTTAGTCATAGGCTTATTAACATTATCTTCAATATAGAAAATATTTTTACATGACTTATTTGAGAACAATTTTTTTTTATATCCGAAAACAGAACGGCCAACGGAAGTTAACTAGATAATCAAATTTGTCATAGCAAAGTGTACATTCCAAAATTATGCAGTAAAGAAAAGAAATTTCGAATAATTTTGCTTCCGTATTTAACAAATATCTAACTTTACAGGTTGTAACTTCGATGAGAGATGTGTCAGACTTGATATGTGTCCCAACTTGTACCATTCCATGAATGTTGAGGGAATAAGCCAACGACAATGCGGCGCGAACAACTTGGCTAGTTCGTTGGGCCAATCGGTATTCGTCTGCTGCCCGGAGCCAGGAAACGTCCTGCCAAGTGCTAAGGTTTGTGGCAAGCGACCAATAGAATATCGAATTTATCAGGGGGAAGATGCCTATCTTAACGACTTCCCCTGGCTAGCCATGCTTCTATACCAGGATAGAAGATCTCTGAGCTTGAACCTTACTAACCGTTGTGGCGGTTCCCTAATCAACAATCGATACGTCGTGACCGCAGCCCACTGTGTGTATAACGAACAACATCACCTAACTTCCTCTTATCTTAAAAGTGTGCGGCTGGGAGAATATAACACCGCCACTGATAAGGATTGCACATATAATCTAGCAAAGTGCAATCCTCCGCATCTAGAAATCGACGTGGAGGAGATTATTTGCCATGAGGATTATCAAAAAACCATAAAGTACGAAAACGACATCGCTCTGCTGCGTCTTCAAACGAGTGTACGGTACGTGACTTGATTTGGCAACCCACTATTGAATTGTTTCAACCGAGACATACTTTACTGGTTATTTTATTTTAGCTACTCCGTTGCAATTAGGCCAATTTGTATTCTGGGCAATCATCTTCCATCAGAATTCTTCAACATCGCCACCCATTTTGAAATTGCCGGCTGGGGCGCTACGGAAAGAAAGGAAAGCAGCCGAGTCTTGCAGAAGGCCACCACAATGAGAAGGCCTGCACCTGATTGCGGGGAATGGAATTTTTCATATGAGACACAATTATTTGCGGGTGGCCAGAATGAAAGCGACACCGGTAAGGGCGATTCTGGCGGGCCTCTTATGGCCAACATGCACCATTTTACGTATTTAGCCGGCATCACTTCATATGGATACACAGGCTGCGAATATCGAGGCGTTTATACAAAAACTCAACCATTTTACCATTGGATACTATGGAATTTGAAACCTTAATCCTTTTTAACCGCATATATAACGAATTCAATTAAATATGAACATGTAACATATGCTTTACCAAACAATAAAACAAAACTATAAACATGAACGCTTCTTGTTACAAATGAAAAACTACTTGCCAGCGTAACTTTAAAGGCTAAGCAGCATGAAAAACAAGTTCCTTTCTTCTGCTGCACTTTATTACGATATAATATTGTAGAATTCCTAACTGCATCCAGGAAAGGGTTCGCTGCGGTTTTTGCGCAAAACAAACTGAATTTTACGATTCATGTCCTCGTTGTAAATGGCCTTGCACTTTTCAAAGTTAACACGACGTCGTACCTGAAAGTTAAAAAGCCTATAAAAAAAACATTGGGTGAAGCAGATTAAACCCCCACCTGGTAGGGCTTCTCGTAGAAGCGTGTGCGGCGAAACTGGTCCAGAAGCTCTTCCTTGCCAAGCACGCGGTTTAGCAGGCGGCAGGCCTCCTCCACGTTGTTATTTTGCACCAGAACAGTGCGGGCCAGAAATTGAGCATGTCTCATTTTGCCGGTAATGATTTATTTTCTAACTCCTTAAGTAGTTGTTTTTATTAAATAACCAACCTACAAAAAAGTGTGACCGTGTAAATGGCGCGGCACAGCTGGCGACAGGGCTGTCGAAGCACTGAAAGCTGCACTTAGGACTGAAGAAGATTATAGAAATAATAATAAACAAAAAATAAGATAGCTGGATATAAGGACGAGAAAGGAATTCCCAATTGTAAAATTGTTCTGGTAATCACAAGTATTTTTTTGTTTGTCGGCGTATTTTGCTTCTTCTGATTTGACTCCTAATGTTCGCGCTCACCAAAACAAAATGATTTGTACGTTTGTATTATAATTAATTCATTTAATTTTTGAATGTAAAAAAAAAAATTTGGTAAATGTTTACAAGTGCGGTGCACGGTAAATACTGCTTAAAAAAATAAAGTAAAATAAGGAAACGATTTGTTTTTTTACCAAAAATTTTTATAGAATCGTAGTCGACTATCGCAGGGATTTCGTTTTTTAATTCTCCCTTTTCTGCAACCGTTTTACCGCATTGTTTTGTCATAAAATCGCCGAATTTAAGTCTCAAACCGAAGGCTTTTCGGGTTGATGAACAATTCGGCGGAAGATTTGGCCAAACTGGATTTTGGTATTTTAGGCCAATGGCAACCCTGCCTCTCATTTTTTCCTAGCGTGGCGGCCATAGCAATCTGCTGAAAAGTATTCGAACTTGAGTGAATAAAATTTAAAAAGTGTAACAATAGCCCCAAGCAACCCAGCTCAAGCCTTTTTTGCTGTAGAGACACGACACGTGAAAGAGGTGAGTTACGCTGGACTTTTCACATCCAGACGATTTGCACATTTCGCCCCGCAGTGGGCGAATGTGTGTGTGCGGTGTGTACTTGGTAGACACTTCCTTTTCACCAGGTTCTTTTCCGCCGTTAAGTAATCGGCCATGGTTGCTTTCTGCGAAGGTTTTATTTTCCATTTTCGGTGTTAGTTTTGCAAAATCGATGGCCCTCAGGGTTTACGGTTCTGCTCTTTGTCCGATCCAGTTCTGACGCAGCGTCTTGCGCGGCACATGTTGGTACTCATACAAGCGCACAAGCGGTGTGTATATGTGGGAAATCTTCTTTGGCAAAAATAAAATTGATTTATCAATTGATTTTTTCCCAAGTCAGTGGCTTTTAGAATCTATTTTCATTTTATTTCTGACTTCTTGCCCTTTCCCCTTTGTCTGGTCCGCTTTCGCGTTTCAATTATCGCGCTCTTTGCTTTGCGTTCGCCGTTCGCACAGCCAGGGCTGCAATGCGCTGACGAAATTTTCTAGAAACTGGGTGTATGTGTGTGTGCGACAGAGGTAGAGGGAGCGAATTGTTGAGAGGGGGGAGGGAGAGCGTCAGCTGCTTGCCGTATTGAAATAGGAAAAAGTTCTAGAAACCGTCGGGAAAACGTCGCAGTTATTTTCGCAAACACATGGCGGCGGGCCGACCTTGAAACCCGGGCTCTAGCTTCCGGCAGTGCCCACCTCCCACACACCTGCACAGAAAAAAAGGGTGCTAAAATCGCGACAGGTCTGCAGAAATCAATAAAAAAAAAAACCAAATGATAGAATGATTTGCCAAAAAACTTTACATACGTATGCTTTTTCTAGAGATTTCAAGCAATCGTTAAACATCTTTTGAACCCAACCAAAACAAAAAAAAAGGCTTAAGGGGCACAACTAGTGTGACGGCCTAAAAAAACGGTGATTTTTGGGAATTTTTATAAAAAAAACTACTTGATCAATTCTTTTCAAATTTTCAGAATATATTTATACATGTTTTAAGAATGTATAGTAAAATTTTTAAAGAAAAAAGTTAAATATTTTTTAAGTTATAGTCGATCTCCAACGGCGCTAAAAAAAAAAGTGCCTCAACTGCTGCAGTGATTCCAGCCCTCTCCGTGGACGAAATCAAAAAATGAAAAATTCTCGTTAAACTAGATAATATTTTCCATACCATGAACTACGATAAAAAAAATATCAAAAAATGACAAAATGGCAGCGTTTTAAAAAAAAAAATCGAATTTTAACCAAAATTTTGGTCGTTTTTGGCCTGCCAAAATTCGATTTTTAATCGGATCAAAAAACCGATAGTTCATGGTACGTAGAACTATATAAAGAACATGTAAAAAAATTTGGTAGTGATCGGATCACTAGTTTTTGAGTTATCACTGCAGCAAATTTGGAAAATGCTGTTTCGAGAAAAACGCGTTTAAAGATAAAATGATCGTTTGCAGTGCTATGAGAGCGGCTGCTCTTTAAATTGTTATAACTCAAAAACTATTTGAGATATCGATTTTAAATTTTAATATGTTATTTTTAAAGGTTTAATCTACCGAAAAATGAAAAAAAAATTTTTGGATTTTTTTAAAACTTCACACTAGTTGTGCCCCTTAAAGGAGTTACCAGAGTTTCTGGTTTCAAACGTAAACATTCTTGTTCCTTAAAATATATCCCACCCTCCTTTGCTTACAGTAAATAATCAAAAAAAAAATGGTCAAGGAAACTGGTTACTATGATCTTTTGGGAGTGAAGCCCAATGCCACGCCCGACGAGCTGAAGAAGGCGTACCGGAAGCTGGCCCTCAAGTACCACCCCGACAAAAATCCGAACGAGGGCGAAAAGTTCAAGGCAATCTCGCAGGCGTACGAGGTGCTCTCTGATGCGGACAAGCGGCAGATCTACGACGATGGCGGCGAGGCGGCCATCAAGAAGGGAGGTGCCGATTCGGGCGACTTCCGCAATCCGATGGACTTCTTTGAGAAGTTCTTCGGTGCCGGATTCGGAGGCGGTGGCGGTGGACGGCGGCGCGAGAGGCGTGGCAAGGACGTGGTGCACCAGATGACCGTTCAGTTGGAGGAGCTGTACAACGGTGCCACGCGAAAGCTGCAGCTGCAAAAGAACGTGATTTGTGACAAGTGCGAGGGTCGTGGAGGCAAGAAGGGCAGCATCGAGAAGTGCATGCAGTGCCGAGGCAATGGTGTCGAGACCCGTGTCCAGCAGATCGCGCCCGGCATCATGCAGCACATCGAGCAGGTGTGTCGCAAGTGTTCGGGAACAGGCGAAACTATTCAGGAGAAGGACCGGTGCAAGAACTGCAGTGGCCGGAAAACGGTGCGGGAACGAAAGGTCCTCGAAGTGCACATCGAGAAGGGAATGCGGGACGGCCAGAAGATCGTGTTCACAGGCGAGGGTGATCATGAGCCGGAATCTCAGCCTGGCGATATTATTATCCTGCTGGACGAGAAGGAGCACTCAACTTTCGCGCACGCAGGTCAGGATCTGATGATGAAGATGCCGCTGCAGCTGGTTGAGGCGCTCTGCGGATTCCAGCGAATCGTTAAAACCCTGGACGATCGCGATCTGATTGTCTCCACGCAACCCGGCGAGGTCATTAGGCACGAGATGACCAAGTGCATTGCCGAGGAGGGCATGCCCATCTTCAAGAACCCGATGGAAAAGGGAACACTGATCATCCAGTTCGAGGTGATCTTCCCGGAGGTGATGAATCCGTCGGTGGTGCCCACGCTCAAACAGTGCCTACCGCCCGCGCCGGAGGTTGACATTCCAATCGATGCAGAGCAGACGGTTTTGGTGAGTACCTATAAATAAGTAATGTGTCAACATATTCAATGTTTATACTGGTGAAAGTCTATTGGATTTTTCTGCTTGAATAAAGCCAATAGTTTCTATAGTTGTGCTCACATAAGGTATATAATGATTTTGCTAATTCATTTGTTTCTCTTGTATTCGCAGGAGGACTTTGATCCGAAACAACGCCGCCAGCAACACCAGCGCATGGCCTACGATGAGGACGATGGTGGCTATCAGGATGGCCCCCGCGTCCAGCAGTGCACATCGAGTTAAGCTAAGCGCTCCCGCTGCGTGTTGCAACCCCGGACTCACACGCCCCTAACAATACCCCCAAATCAACAAGCAGTAATAATATGTAAACCAGCTCCCGGAACACTGTAACTGCGCTTGCAATGGCCGAAGAACTCCCTAATGCACACAAACACACCATCCAACACACACTAGGAGACCCAACCAATCGAGAGATCTAAAGTTATTTCATGCAAGCTACTATATTTAGGTATAAATCAAAGGAACTTATCAGATATATGCACTATGTCTATAACGCGTGGTTGTTTGAAAACCAATGGGACATTTTTCTTTTCGTTTATGTTGCGTTGGTCTGTCAAAGAATCGAAAACGGATAATGAAACTGAACTAAACTGAAATTGAAAATCAGCCGCCACTAGAACCGTATATAAAGTCCGCGCCAGCGAACGCGTCTAGGAACATGTTTAAGTTATTTAATTCCAGCATAAATAAAAGCGTTAGTTTAAACGGATATAACAAATAAATAATTAATACACAATTTCAAAAAAAAAAAAAAGAAAAACAGTGTACTTTGCTTCCTTCAGTTTTTTGCCCGCTGAAGTAGTTATCTGTTTTATAATCGCTGCATAGTCATTTCAATTGAAGTGTGAATCACCCACCTATGACTGTCTATCGGGGATGTCTGGCATTTAATAAGTGCCTGGCGTGATAATTTTGAGTTAGCAATTTCTATGAAGTTTATATAAGTGGCTAACTGGATAAATGGAGAAAATTTTGTGTCGCAATTATCTTTTTTTTTTTTATTTCTTTCTCCATAAGTTCTTCAAGGAATTTAAAAATTGGAATCAAAGGCAAATAAGATTTTGTTAAAATATTTTGTAAATTTATTTACAAATTTCCAAAGTGACTATACAACACAAGCTTGTATAAACTAATGCGCAAAATTGCGAAGAGCAGCCACCACTCCAGTGCCGTAGATCAGTTTCTCCTCCACCCGTTGCCAAGCCTCCTGCTGCACCTTTGAAACACTGCGCAGCGCTTTTACCAACTCAGGGGATTCAGTCAGTGCCAGACCGTTAGACCGCAGGAACACACTTAGATAGGATTGGGCCAGCTCAAAATTCAGATTGGTGCCAAACATAAACTCGATGAGCTTGAGGAACTGCAGCATGGCGAGGAGCGTTCCTCCAGCTTCCGGGTGCAGCGATTTGATCTCAAAGTCCACCATTGAAGGACCCAATTGGGTCAAGTGCACCACAGCAGGTGAGAAGTTCAGGCTGTCGGAAGTTTCTTCCAGCAGCTGACCAAAGGCAGTTAGATTATTGAGCGTGGAAGCCTTTCGGATACGGGAGTTGTCCTCCTCCGTTTGGCCGTTCTGCACATCGAAGCGCAGCTCCAGTCCCGAAACAGTGGGTAGGAAAAACGGAGCCTGTTTAGGAGCCTTTGGAGGCGCCTTGGGCTTGTTGCGTTGCTTTATAAGCTCCAAGTCCAAAAGATTCTGCCAGCGGGATGCAGCCAATCCGGAAAGTGTTATTAACTCCTCGGACAACTGGGTTGGAGTTTCATACTTGGCATCGACCAGCTCCCCGAGATTCGACTCGTCTTCTTCGTCGATCTCAAGCTCCTGCATGCCATCTTCCAATTCCATAGCATCGCACACATTAGTGGGTAATCCCACATAGGGAGCCGGTTCCAAAGGATCGATGGAGCGCAGGGAAACCTGGTTGAACAGCGTCTTGTTGGCCCACAAGTAAATTCCCAAAAGCCCGACGTGCGCAGTAGCCAGGAAGTCGCCGTTGGGCGACATGCTCAACGATACGCAAGGCGACTCCACACGAAAGTGATCAACCATGTATGAGGAGGGTATGTCCCACACCTTGATCGTGGAGTCCATGGCAGCAGTGATCAGCCAGCGACTGTCCGGACTGAAGGCAAGGTCATTCAGTTTGGCTGTGTGACCGACGAACTTGCGGACAATAACCCGCGTGTGCATGTCCACCACAAATATCTTAAAGGTCTCCAGTCCGATGGCCAGCATGGAGCTCTCGCGGTGCTGTCGCATTAGGGCAACTCCATCCGCCAGACGAAGCACGGCCAGCGGCTTGTCAACTAGAGAAACGTAAAAATTAAACAGAAGTTAAATAGATAAATATAAGATTAATAATTAAAAGTTAGTCCCTACCCTTTCCCTTGAACGGCCAGAACTTGACCAGACCCTCCGAGCAGCCGGATATGACACTCTGGTTAAGATTGTCGCTGGCCAGGCCGCGCACTGCCATTTTGTGACCCGGAGAACCGTAGCTGGCTCGATGGAAGCCCGACTGGATATTGAAGCGCTCGATGTCGCCACTGCTGTAGCCAATGATGACGAAGTTTCCACAGTGTGTCAGTACGATGCATGTGGTTTCGCTCTGGAAGTTGGTGCGGTTGCTATTTTGAAACTGCTGCGGCACAAGGCGGTGGTCGCCCATGCGGTTCTTGTAGAATGACCAGGTGGTCGTCTGAATGACGCCCGCATGGATGGCGGCAATGTTATCCCACTCCTTCTCCCGGGCTATGTCTGAGGTGAACTCCAGAATAGGCGGCATGCCGAACTTGTCGTGCTGGAACCGATCTAAAGCAGTTTTTCTCAGTTAAATGGAAATTCCTTTTGCTGGCTGGATGCAAACAACTTACTCTTCTTTTTTGTGGCCTTAGGATTGTACGTGGCCCTGCCCATGCTCTTGTTCAGCGACTCGGAAATGGTGGAGAACACCCGCATGGTGCTGTCCTCACCCGAGGAGAGAATAGATACCCCCGAGTTGCCATGATAACGGATGCAAAGCGGCGGCTTTGTGTGTCCCTCGCGGATCCTCAGCTGCCTTGCTCCACCGTCCGGCATGTCGAACACAAACATCTTCATGGAGTTGTCTGGTGAGGTAGTAAAAACCACGGGCTCGCTGGGCAGGCAAATGGCCGTGGTCACCGGCTCCTCATGCGCCTGCAGCTGACCTGACAATTTGCGCTCCTCTAGATTCCAAAAGGCCATATAGCCGTTGCTGCACGCGGAAACCAGAATAGGCGGTCCATCTGTGCGGAAGGAGAGGCTGGTGACTTGCCCCCAATCCTGCTGAAAGCTCATGAGCACCTCATCGAACTTGAGGTTGAGTAGAATGATGGCACCATCTCCATGGCCCACAGCCACCACATCCAGAGCGGGAGCTGGTTCGATGCAGGTGATCCTGCTGTCATGGTGGCTTAAAGTGCACACCACACTGTTCTTCTTAATGTTCAGGATCTTCAGCTGACCCTGTTGTGAGCCCAGCACGATTTTGTTGATGTACGTGGGCGGATGGGTTACTGCGGTGATCAGGAACTCGTCTGGTCGAAAGGGTACCTCTAAATAGACATCCTCGGTAGGTATATTCCACACCTTTAGCACATTTTCCCGATCGACGGCAATTAAATTGGAGCCGAAGGGCAGCAAAAGGTGTACATCCTTCTTATGGCCTCGATAAACGTGCCGGATGTGCTTGCCCGCTCGCCATGCGAAGATACATTTGTTGCTCGCAGAGTACGTGTGCAGGCGGTCTGTGGCCAGCGCTGTAATCTCGTCCGGATGAAGGCCGCTTACGTGCAGCAGCCGGAAGTGATTGGCGGTGTACACCTGGAAGGATCTGCCGATGCAGGTGATCAGCAGCGTGTCCCGGCGACGTTGGACGTACCGCGTGACCGCCGGAACTTGGTTGCTCACATAGCCAAGGGCTCGATTCCTTCGAAAAATGCAGCTGCTCTCCTTGAACACAGACGGCCGCTCTGCTCCCTCCTCCGGCTTTTCCCCCGCTCCCAGGTGCGTCATTCTTTCTTTTTGCTTGTCCTTTTCCTTTAATTCCTACAACGAATTCCTAGATTCCTTCAACATGCCGAAAATGTTTACGCGAAACACGTGTGGGGAAGAGATGGGACAAAGCCGATAAACTTTCAACACTATCGATGAAGACATCGATGACTTGCGCTTGAAAAAAAAGACATGAAATTTCGAAACCAATAATTTTATAGGAAAATAAAACATTATTTTTTGCGATATATAATATCTGCCCTTCATTCCTTTTATTTTCTGAATAAAAATAATTTCAAGCTTAATTCTTATAAAATGGAGGGGTCGGTGGACCAGCAGGTAGAGCGCTGGTCTCCGGTCCGGAAGGCCCGGGTTCAAATCCCAGGCTCCCCGAGAAAAAGAAACGGTCTCTTTTTCCAAATCTCCATCATTTTTATGTTCTATCGCTCACTTAACAATAATAACAAATTTTGGCTCCCCGGACCCGCATACCCCTCGTCCACGTTACTATGGACACAATAATAGAACTTTCGTCACTCCTAGATGGCGACAGGTGGCAACCCCACCGCTAGGATAAGTCGCTACTGGCTTATAGCCAGTACGATCGAAAAACCAAAGATAAATGAATCCTCTACACAAAATTGTAGAGGCTCTATGCTCCTGGGTGGAGTAAAAGAATGTAATTTTTTTTTTTTTTTATTTCTTATAATGACAGGGTACAAGAAAATGTTGTATTAGTCGTCGCCAAAACAACAACAAGATGTAACTAAACAAGTACCATCTCTCGCTCTTCTTTGATTTATGCAGATATTCCTGCATTGAGCACTGGAGGCTATATTTGAATTGCCAATACTTTGTTTGTTGGGATTGCACCTCTGCATCAAAACGGTTCCACCGTACTCTTCACATTTAGTTCGCCTGGCCGAAACCAAGTTAAAAGAGTGGCTGATCAGCACACAAACCAAAACAAACATAACGATCTGCCGAAAAATGGAATTAATTAGCCATTTTAATTTTTATGCCCTCACCTACCTTCATTGCAAACAACAATGGTTGAAAATATTTTTCTGATTTCAATTTCGGAGTAGTATGTCCCTCAAGTGATCCGCTCAAAGTGTCGTCTCTGTTTTCTGAGCTGCGATTATATAGCAACAGTTGAATGCGGTCGAACTGGCAATCTGAAATCAAATTCTCTTTTGGATCCAAACTCTCCTTGAGCTATTTGATTTCACTTTATGGTTCGAGTTATGTATAAAAGTGCCACATCTTTCAAGATAAGGCAGCGGCTCGACACGCCCACAGTCTTAACAAAAAAAATGTTACTTCAAAATTTATATAAAACATGTATTAAGATGCTCGTTTTTGTTAAGGGTACTCGTTTTTGTTCCGGGACTAACTTTTCGCTATCTGTAATAAAAAGAACTTTGATAGCACTATAACATTTAGATTTATAAAACATTAAAATGTACTTCATTGGTCAAGTAAATTACAATGATGGTCCCATGCAATAATATATTTCTTTGGCCAGAATCGAAAATATCATAGCCTATAGCCAATCAGACATTTTTATTGCATTTGTAGCACATTATGTTGTTTATTTAACCAAGCTTCTCGCCATAAATAAAACTATTGTGAACAATTAGTTGACATTGTGCTGTCATAACAATATACATATATGCACCTATAACATTTAACATACATACACAGTTTACAAAGTTTTCCGGTGCGCAATGAATAGGACTTTTTACTTTTTTTTTCGAACTAATATTTTATTTAAAGTATAATTACAACTACATATAGTCTTTCGCTTTCCTCGTAAATCAATATAAATAAAAAGATATGTATTTTATTATAAAAATTGAAACACGCTGACTTTGCCGTTTTCTTTAATTTATTCTTCGTCGTGTGCTTCCTTTTTTTGTCACTGAAATCCTTACCAGCCCCTAAAAATTTCAGTTGTTTTTTTTTCTGTTGGATGGTTATGCAATTAGCATGAAAATTGATTGCGCGGTATATGTAGACATTTATCAAACATTTTATACAAGTTGCGAAAGTAATTAACATTCATAAGTAATTCATATGTTGTTGCTGCTGCTGATGTTGTTGTTGCTCTCGTTCTTGACGAATATTCTTGTTGATTTTTGTTGGTGTGGGTTGTGGAAATGTGAATGTTGATGCGCTTCCCGCCTTAGTTTAGTGCATTAAGTTCACCGGAGTTGGCCAAAGGATAATCCAGTTCACCCATACGATTGGCCGGTCGTCGGGGTCGGTTGAACTTTAAAGGAAATAAAGAAGGTACTTGTAAGTTGGTATAAAAACCAAAAAATATAATATGTATTTTTTCAATTTATAAATTTAACTTTTGCCTTAATCTTGTAAGTAAAATGATGTAAATATTTAATAAGGACGTTGGCAAATGAAGAATGCAAGGTGCTCACCCATGATCTCATGATTTTGTAGAGCACCTGACGGGCGGGATAGTCATTAAAGTCGGCCTCGGGCGCCACCGCAACCTGTTCATTTGGCGCCATCATGGGCAGCAGTCCACTTGGCCGAACGTAGTCCTGCTCCTGAGCTCCGGAGGCTGTCTCGCCCATTCCCACGCCTGTTCCGGACCCGGATCCGGCGCTCAGGGAGCGCTTGCCATGACCGCCGTAACACACATGGCCGTAGGCCTGGCACCCCTCTGCAAAAAAGTCGATTCATGATTTACTCAAGCAGTGATGACTTAAATAAGAAGCTTTAAACAGCTCGAATTTAAAATTGTACGTGATGCCTCAATTTTTGAATTCTTACGTTTCTCAAATATTAATTATATTAGATACTCATTAAAAAAAGTTAATAGACCTAATCAGTGTCAATAGTAGCGATTTTATTGGCTTTAAAACGATTTAACAATTTTCAATAAGATAAAAAAGATTTGATTTTATTGTAAGCATAGCCAGCCCAAAAATGATTAAATTGGCAAACATGAAATTGAAGTAATCGATATTTGGGGCCTCTTTCCACTTAAACTTGTGCCGATGCGTGTGGACTTCGCAACGCACAAGCCGGAATATCGTCCCCATTACTAGAAGATAGACTGCTCCTGTGGATTTCGTTACTGCCAAAATCTTTAATCGCTCGCCAAAGCTCAAGAGAGACATCCGGCGATAACCATTTGACCCATGACGGTTCAATTTCGTTTTGTTTGCTCCTCCGGCTGTGTGTGAACAAACTTTTGACTTTCTGCTGTTTTTGAATTTCCGCCCACACAGTCAAACATAAATTTTCCTGTTGCACACTTGGGAGTTGTCCTTGACATACGCAGGATTTAAATATAGGTGGGGGGTCGGGATAACTTTCCTAAGCTGATGAGTTTCTGTAATCTCAAAGGCCTTGGTTTTTAACATAAGCAATATCGAATTTTTTGTTCCCAAGAATAATTGTTTAGATTTTTTGTTATTTTTTAGAAGTAAATGTCTTAAAGACAATGAGGAACAGTTTATAATTTAATGAAATTATGAGTTGTACTGTTGAAACTTGAAAGAAACTTTAGTTTCTTTATCAGAATCAAAACGCAGTTTTCAGAAAGCTTATAGAGTTTTTAAGCCATTAAATCATTTACTTTTACAGAGTATCTCTGGCCTCTTTATTTAACAGCTTTTCCATGTTGTCCATGTAATCGCTTGGGAGCTCTAAATAAGTTAGCTTGCCAACATCTTAAATGCCGTTTCAAAGGCAATCAAATCACAAACTTTGGGTAATAGAGCAAATGGGAAAATATAAGCGTTTTGATGTAAATGGGAGACTGAAAGTCAGTACTCCTTTGGCCAGTTGACATTTGCTATTAATAATTCCAAGGAAAAGGTTGCCTCACATGTCTCGACTTTCTGAGATAGTTGCAACTTGCAAGGGAAATGGGAATGGCTCCCACTCACCCCATTTGCACAACCCCCTCCATTTGGACGCCCTTGTTGTTGCCATTTAACGTTTCCGCAGCTGGAAAAACAAAGACGCCCCGTTTTGTTTTCGTTGCATTAAACTGCAACAATTGATGCTGCCTCGTTGGGCGAGTACGCCGATATCGAGTGTGACACCCATTTATGGCTTTGTTTTTCGAGCTTCAATTTAATGAATATTTCATAGCAAGTTTACCTGAATATTTGCCAAGGGTCTGCTTTAAAGAAAGAGAGGGCGCACACATTGTTTTTAAAGGGCAGCAAATAAAACCATAGTAAAAGTCTTGGCTGTAACTTAAAAATTTATAAAGAGCAGCACGTAAAGTGTTAAAATTATTTAATTAGAATTTTCTGTATTGTAAACGATTGATTTTGATCAATGATTTTTATTTTGATTTATTAAGTTGTGATTCTAATACCTAGTAAATTTTAAAGAGGGCTTAGTTCAGATTTGCTACTCACTTTTCGCTTGACTCTGTTGCGCGGCCAGGACCACGGTGCAGATGACGACCAGCAGCAAAGAAATGGAGGATTTCATGTTACCTGTAAGAAAGAAGCGGATTCAAAGGATGAGCACCTGTTGAAGTCTGGCATTGACATCGTGGGCTTAACCCGGAGGGCGCTACACTAATTAGGAAATCCGAGCACAGCGCGCCGAACGAGTCAAATCGAATCGGAAAGTCCACATGCATTTGGGGAACTAATCCTGGGCCACAAAAACTTTTGAACTATGATTTATGTAACGCCCACTGAAACACGCAGACAATTAGCCCGGTTGTGTGGATATGTGTGACCTTAGGGTAAAAGGTGGCATTTCCACAAACATTTGTTTATTACGTGCCCTGAATTTCTTAAGTGTTCATCATCTTTTGCGTATATCTTTCCCAGGAATATTCATAGATAAAAGATAAGCCATTTAATTGCCTGAGACCTGTATGATTTTCTCAACACATTTCGCTTTGTGCGTAAGCTTGAGAACGAAGTAAAACCGATTAAAATTTGGCAACAGCTGTTGCCTCTTCATTCCATCAATCATACGCCATGTGTTCTTAATTAAGTATGCTATTTGGTTCCACTTAGTAATTTAGAAAAGTGCATCAAATTGACAAAATAGACAAGAATTGTAATTTATAATTAACTTTAATAACTCTAAATATAGATCTTATAAATTCTATTTTTAAAATTGAGGTTAATTAAAATTATGAATTTCTCTTTATTTATAGATAAAAAGTAACAGCTGATGATGGTAATAAACACACATCAATCATAAGCGTTATTTATAATATTATTAAAAGCCAAACCTGGTCGCGTGTCGCCTTCAACTGCAGTTTGAATAACTCACCTCAACCAGACTGATTAGCTGATGTGGGCTTTGTGCAATTTATACGGCAGTTTTCTTTGTTTTTGGCTTGTAACAGGGATTATCAGCACTAATTTAAAACAATTTTTTTCTATAGGTGGCTACTATATAATCACAGATATGATTGGGCGGATGTTTTTGCCAATTGCAGTTTGATATGGCAATTCCACCAGCCGAATCCCTGAGCGCGATTTCACATTTTCAAGCTACCGCCAGCGACTGAGGCCGATCTATAAGCTTGCCCGATCTATAAGCCGCATCGGCGATCTCCTCCATAATCTCCGCTCGATCCGTGTCACGCGCTCACACTCCCACAATTTTCCAATTTACCCCTCCGATCTCTGGACTATTTTCAGTCACTGGTCGGGCTAAATTTATGGCCAGCCGATAAGTGAAAATTAATATGTAGAGCGCTACTGGCGGACCAGTAAAAATCAACACAACAAAAGCACCCACGCAGTGCGAAAACAATAACAGTGTTCTCATTACACGAAAAAATATATTATAATTGTTTACCAAGGCGCAGGGCCGTGCCAACACTCGACCCTTGGGCTTATCAATTTTCCCAGCTATTTAGTTGTGATAATAATGCCTTAATGAGCTATTGCTGCCACAACTCTTGCTGACACTGTCACTAATGCTCGTTCCGAGGCTTTCGAAAACTTTCCACAGGTGCAAGTGTTCTCACTACTATTTTATACACTTTGAAAATATGTTCCATTACATTTAAGAAATAGATAATAATGTCTTGCAGCAAACTTTCATATTCGTTCAAAATTTACTTTGAAGATTAGGATTTTTCTAAATTTTCTATTTCAGAATTCCAACTCCCATTCAACTAATTTTATTTTAGGAATTGGGTAGATTTTTGTTTAGTGAAATACCGAATGCAAAGTTCACGAGCAGCCGATCAGTTTCCGTGTGAAATTCTCTAATCGCAGGCTGATAATCCACAAAAAGACAACACAAACAGCTGCAAACCAGGTCATCCAATGAAAGCGTGCCTTTGGCACAAATCATTTCCAATCGGATCAGATCAGATTGTTCTCGCCGCGATAAAGCTATTCAAAACAATCGGCAACAGATTAACTAGGCAACTCAAGTGGAACGAGAAGCCAGGAAAATTAAGTTAAACGCAGAATTGGGTCGGGTTAGGAGTTTGTGTGGTTTTCCGCTGTTTAGCAGAGTTAAAAGTTGAAAAAAGTTGGCAAGAGTAGAGTATACATGAAGGAGGGTCAACTGGAGGATGAAGTTGGTAAGTTATCTACTAAAAATATTTTAGCAATGTGTTTTAAATCCAACTTTATGGAGACCTAGGAACATATTTTTTAACTCCAATCACAGCTTAAATCGGAAATGCTGTCCAAGGGAAAAAGGGAAAAGCTGGAATCGAATTAAAGTTGTTGCGAAATTCTGCTTTTGAACAGCAACAAGTTGTCTGAATCTTTTTATCTGCGCTTGGGATAATGCATGATTTATACAGCTGCTCTCCTGAATTTTAATATCTTCAACTTTGTTTGAGAAAACGGAGCTTCCGTTTTGCATAGAAGGCGTCTAGCCGGCAGCGTTTTAGCGGAGTTATTAAAAATAAATCAAAGCGGATAAGGAAGTCGGTCCAACCACTGGGACTGAGTGCCCGTAATTATGGCTCCTAATCTAATTTGATTCAATTAGATTAGACAAATAAACGAAAACGGCCAGAAACTTAAACGCTCCTTAGGGCATTGGGAAATTAATTGACCAAGACAAGCGGCTGGCAATTAAAGTCAACAAATGTAAACGAGATTTGGAAGGACACTAAGGATACCTGGCATAATCTGATAGGACTATGAATGGTTTACTTTATATGTTAACTTTAAAGAGGTTTTTTTTCGGAATGGAGAAAATTTCCTTTGTTATTAAAAAAATTATTTGGTATTTAATTTTTTTAAATTTGTTTTGCATTAAACACTGAACTGAAACTTATCACTATTTTGGTTGTATAAGTCACAATTTTAACTCTTAACTACCAACTACTGGTATTTGGCGCTTATTTAATACTTTGGGTATATCACAGGCTTAATCACTCTGGTCTACGTACTTGCACTCGACTGGTGGGCTGCTGTCCAAAGCAAATGTCCTTGTCTTTCGTCCTGGTCGTCGTCCTCGTCCTTGCCGGATGGTTTCGCTGATGCTGCCGCTGCTGCTGTTCGACTGCAAGCCGGAGTTCTTTTGGTGCCGCCAAAGGGAAGTCGGCCAGCTTTATAGCTGCAACACCAGCTCCTGGCGGCGTGCCTGTGTGGGTGACGAGCTAACGGTGTGCGTGAGCGTGCGAGTGTGTGTGCGTGGGCTGGCGCCAGTCGGCCAATCAGGAGCGAGCAAAATGCCGAGCGGTGCACGAAGCCTTTGGCCCAGAAGTATGCAGCGATATTTTTGGTCGCTCGAAAATTCAAATTATGCGTGGGTGCAAAAGGCTGGCAATAAAAACGGGGCAAATGGGGCAATAGGGCCGCCTCGGGGAACGTCAAATTAGCAGCGCGCTCAGATTTATTTGCTCAACATCGCCGCGGCCAGCGGATATGAATGAATGGCCATCATTGGCAGTCACAAGTGGCTGCTGACGTAGTTGCCAAAATCGGCACTTGGACCCAGTGCAATCTGCCCACCAACACCCTTTTAACCCCTGGCTCATGCCCACCCGAAATCAGTTTCGAACTTAATTAGGCCCAAATCCATTTGACCAAGTCCCCAAGCGAAGAACTTGCGCATTCTCTTTGAGCCATTCTTGCATTTCAATATTGAATTTTTCTCTATGAATCAATATTTCAATTTAATTACATAGTTAAAACCTTGTAAAGTTGGGAAATAGAATGACTACGACATGCTTCAGTAACTAATTGTTTATTTATTAAACATGAATATTAAACAATGTACTGTCTCCGGAGTTATAACTTTATAAGTATTTAATTCCCTTTTTGCTCCGGCGTATTAGGAGTTCCCATTTCTTGGAATTTATTTGATGTACAATTTTTAAGTATCAGCATTCAAAGATTAGTTGGGAATTTTAATTTTTCCCCCGATCATCAATCCCGCTTGCATGTCAACAGCACCAGCAAATTGATTCGCTAACGACTTGTTTACAACAATTGCCACCTCCACCTTCGATTTCATGTCCATCTGGTGTAATCTGTCCAGTTGAATGCGATTCAGCTACTGTTCAGCCTGTTGCTACAGTGAATATACCTACAGCTACACCGCCTATCTCCCCCGCAGCTTATCGCTTTGCACCAAAAACAAATTAGCCGATAAGCAGCTGACGGTGCTCAGCACACGCCGATCAAAATATTTGACATCAAACAAGCAGCAGAATCCCCCACAATTGATGATTTTGCCATAGAAATTGACCGATGATCATCTGAATAATGCAAATCTTTATCAGCTTTGAATTAAAACAAATATATATCAACAAAAGTCTAAGTGGTATAAGGAAATCTAAAGATTAAAAACTTTTTTTGAACGTACACACCAATCAAATTATGCATTTACAATAGAAATCGGTTTTAATTGATTATGTACCTTAGCCTAGAAATATTTAAATTTTTACCAAGCAGATTACTAAGCAGATTGAAAGTTATATGCTCAGCAAAAAATGAAAAAAATAATAATCCATTTGACACACCGCTGGTTGGTAACAACAAAACCGTGGCTTCCGCATTTTGCAAACATCAAGCACCTTAAATCTTTTTGCGGTCGCAATTGTGTTCTAATTATGATGTTTGTGATCGAAAACCCGTTTGCCAAAGTGGCGACAATTGGCCTATAAAATGTCAAAAAAGTTTTGGTAACAGCATCAGTTACTGACAAACCAACAAACGCAAACAACCAAATCAACATGAAGTTCCTCATTTGCTTGGCTCTCTGCATTGCTGCCACTCAAGCTGGTTTCATCGCATCTCCGGTGGCAACTTATGCTGCCACTTATGCCGCTGCTGCTCCTTTGGCCTATACCGCTCCTGTGACCACCTACTCCGCTCCTGGCTACTCCACCTACTCCGCCTCGCTGTACAAATCTCCAGTTTACACCGCTCCGGTGACCACTTATGCCGCTGCTCCCGCTTTTGCTGCTCCCATCACCACATACGCTGCTCCAGCTGTCGTTAGCTCCTTCCTGAAGAAGAAGTAAAAAGGATCCGCCTGCACATAAATGTATTGACCCGACCATGCGATGCAATAAACCACATTAAAAACTAAACACAAATAAAACAGACTCTAATTACTAATAATAACTAGTCTTATATCCGAATGAGTTTCTAACTTTTGCTAACATACTTTTTGGCGAAAGTTGAAAACACGATACAGTGGCAATAATAATGATATTCACCTGCAGCATTTAATATTTTGCAAAAACAAATAGTTTAATTAGCTCCCATATAACAATACTCCAAAGAAAATAATCTGAATTGGTTCAAATAATTATATGTTTCATGTTTATATATAACTTTATTGAACTGTTACATTTAGATCTCTGATACACATATTCTAGCTGGATAATTGGACGGCTTGCCTTTCAATTGGCCTAAAAGAAACCAACAAAAAAATCAAGAGTAAAACAATGCGTTAAGTGATGAGATTCCCGATTGCCAGAGTTCTGAGCTGAGTTGAAAGAGTTTTTGTGGAAAGTTCAGAGACAGTTGGCAGCTTAGCTTAGTAGAAGGAGCGGATAAACCAAAGACCCAGCAGGGAGCTAAGGATCGCGCTTACGCTGGCCAAAGACGCAGTGGTGGCTCCGTTGTGCTGGTTGCAGATGCGGGGCTGCGGGGCGGATACGTATTTGCAGATGGTGCCAACGAAGTTCACCTGGGCGCGCTCATTAACGTTCTTGTCAAATTGCTAACAAAAATATAGGAAATATTTAAATCATTAGCTAACAAAACAAAATAAAAGATCAGCACTTTTAATTCTAATATAAAATGTATAATTTCCCAACTAAATTTACTAACTAAATTTACTGACCTCATTGAACAGAATGGTTGGCACACTGGTCAGTGGCTCCTTGAGCCGCTGGGTGGCTTCGCCGGCCTTTTTGAGGAGGACGCTGCCCTCGGTGGTGTTGGCACAGGTCTTGATATTCTCCCAGTTGTTGATGTGGTTCTCCGTGGCACATCGCTGGCCGGGATAGACGTTGTCCGGGAAATTCTTGCCCGCCTTCATCAGGCAGTTGATGAAGTCGATGGTGAGCGACTCGCGGGTGAATTCCACCTGGTAGGAGTTGGCCTGGATGTGCTCGATGGCACAGGCGTGCACCTTGTTGCCATAGCACTCATTTGGACCGTGGTGGCAGGTGAACGTCACCTCGGAGCCCTGGGTGAAGAACTGCGGAAGGAGCGAGGAACAGGAGCCATGCAAATGAGCCATTGTCCTGCCGAAAGAGGAGGTCGGGGCCACTCACCTGAGACTTTCCGAACGGCACGAAGGTGAGCTCCACCACATCGCGCAGCTCTCCCTTAATGGCCGGGTAGACCTGCTCCGTGATGAACTTGGCACTGTCCGGACACAGGGACTCGTAGTAGATGGAAATGGGCACCTAAAACAAGGTAAATCATTGAAAATTACATCAATATTTATGGGTCCATTCTGAGTAATTTAACTAACAGTATTGATTATATAAAACATATACAAAATAGGATAACTTTCTTTCTTCTTTGTAAAAAAAATATAAAAATGTTTCCGAGTTTTAAATATATAATCTATTTATTATGAATTTTATAACATTTAAAGTTCTACTTTTTTTCCGTGCACGAATTGGTTGCCGTCTTTTCAAATCCCATTTAGGGTGCATTTTGTCATTTGCATTTTTCGAGAGTGCAGCCAAACTGAGGAAGCAAATCACATTCGGCTGAATGGGCTGGATCCAAATATTGTTTCTCTTTGTTTATCAATTGGGGACAACTGCCACATGCTCCAATCAACTAGCCCATATACTGTTGAACTTGAACCGGCAGGAATATAAAAGTAAGTAATATAGGGTAAAGAATAAAACCGGGGTAATTCGAAGTATGAGGTTTTAAAATAAAATTTAAGTATGTGATTGCATGTTCGTGACCGGCAATAATTACTTATTTATATGACTGTCTCTGATCAACATTTGATTTGTGGGTGTTTGAACAAATGACTTCGTTTAATGTAATTTCAGTTGATTATTTTACCCAGAATAAAAGCAATGTTCAGATGAGTCTAAACAAAAATAAGGGGATCACAGCAGAAAAAAAAAAAAAAAATTTTATCTAATTGTTTTCCCCAGCTCGTGACCAGTGCGCAAATGATTAAGCAAAGCCAACCAAAAAGCTCATGGGAAATAAAAAAGTAACAAATATGTACTGGAATACACACACAAATGCAAATTGTTTTGTGCTGGAGTTGAAGTTATATAAATGCGGCTGACACATTGCTGAAAGAACCCGCCATTCTTCTCGATCTAAACAACAACAGAACCAGCAGAGCTCAGTAAATACATATATACACAGGGGAATCATACATTTGTACACTCAAAAAAATAAAAAACGATCTTGTACAGAATGTTAAATACAGTACCTAAAAAAAATATATAAATATTTAATGAGGTGTATTTGTAGAATTAAAAATACTCGTTTTGTTCTGTGTGTAGAACGGAGTTGCAGTTGGGTTGCCGGCACACCGGTTCCCTCTATGAGAAAAAATCGAAACTGGTCTCAGAACCGGTTTTAACCCAAATGAAAATAACAACAGAGCAACAGGGCGCTCTTTGACTAATTTATAATGTCAATTATGCTCTATGCTTTTCCACAGCGGCATTTTCCGACCCGCAGCAGTTCGTTAAACTCTTGAAATGCCACTTGTTGCTGCCACGAAAAGGGTGCAGCTCTTCTATGGGTTTGTTTTCTCCAAAGCTACTAAGTTTTTCAACTTAATCACGTCTTCACCTAGATGGTAAATGCTTTTGGTTGCCCCTGACACGCTTAGCTGTTGTGTAATAATTTTAGTTTTTGCCTACTGATTTTTGTCGCTATCCGATTGCAGGTATTTTTCCCCCCAGCCGGAAACTCACCTTTGCAGCACTGAAGGCAGAGGCAATAAGGCAGCTCATCAGGAGGCACACCGCAGCGACTTTGTGACTCATTTTCTGGCTTCTTGTTGTTCTGGGCCTTTGGAATTGTTTCTTTTTATATATATGTATTTCTGAACACGTTACGAGCGGCGGTCGTGTTGTGAGCGGTTTGGTGGCTAAGCGCGAACTGTTGTTTGTTACGGAGAGCTTGACGTTGGGAGCCCTGCCCGAAGCCGATTTCCAGACTGAAATAGTGGTGGCAGAGAAGAGCCGGATCCGTCTGCATACTTTGGGCTGGGCTTCGTTATATACACACTAATATTCCAGAGTCTCGATCAAGTGGAATTCCAGTCGGAGATGAAGTTTCGATTTGAGCTTAGTATTGAGAGAAATGAGAAGTGCATATGAGTAGACATCTTCAACCTATCCGCAACCCCGAATTGTTGGTACCCTTTTCTAACATATTTTTCTGACTTTTGTTGAAGTTTCCATATCGGAAAAAACTAACTTGTTTTTTGATTATTATATTAAGTTCTCATTTTTGGGGCAGCTATATGATATGATAGTCCGATCTTTTATTAAAATTCCCAAAAACCATTTCTTCTTAATTCCCGTTGTTATTTATATATTCCTGTGACAGCTTTATAATATAGTCGTCCGATTCGCCATTGAAAGCGATTCCTTTATTATTTTTCTCTCATTCCTTTGACCTTTCTTATGTTTAAATACAAAACCTAGGCAGGTTTTTGCTTTCCAACTTTTCCCACCTGGGGAAATGAACCCTTACAAGTAGTCCTCCCACACAAAAAGTGGTCACAGGTACATTTGCGTGATTTTTATAAATAATGGAATTACAGATAAACATGCACAAGTCCTTGGAGGCCGAAATTTCTGCTTCTTATTCGCGAAACCGAAATCCCTTGGCTATCAAATCCTTGCGCGCCTCCAGAATTTCATCTTGAAGTTCCTTGGCGGCTTCGGGACAATCGTTGAAAGTGAGTGTTCTATACAGAACAGTCCAGACGGAATATACCTAAGGATAAGAAAGATAGCCAATTGATAATACGTAAATCAGCAGCAATGTTTCTAAGAACTTACGCCGAAAATCACGAGAAGTAAGAGCGGCAGAAGTTGAATGTGCAGGAAATACTTGGTCGTAAATTGCGTTTGCACTGTTCCCAAAACAATTGCTAGGTAGGGAACCGCAAAAAGAGATGCATAAAACAGCCAGCGTTGTAAGTTTGTCATATTTAATTAATTTTAAAGGAATCTAAACTAAATCCAAAAAAATCGCACTTTTCTACACGTAAACAGAGCAACAAGATTTAGAGTGACCGTTCAGAGACCGATAAGAAACCACAAACTTCGTTCCACAGCAGTCAGCTTTGCAGAGTAAGCAGTTCAAATGCGAGTTATCGATAAGTGCAGTTTAAAACTCGTTAAAACTAAGATTAATTTAAACGTTAGGAGGCGTGGCTTCTGTGGCCCCCACTGTACATGGCGTATTGGCAAGTAGGTCAGCCGTTCGGCAGCCAATTATTTGGAACTTGACCTCGTTCGCCGGCAAGTCAACGCCCACGAAAAGTTTCGGCTGGCTGCTCAAGGCCCATAGCTCCTCCTCTCCTTTGGAATTCCGGTTGATCTTGAGGCCCGTGACGAACTTGATCTTGTGCGGATTGTAGGCCACCACTCGCAGATCGTCCGCCGTGTAATTGGAGCTCTCCTGCCACCTAATTATGGCCCCCAAGCTGATGAGGCTGCAGAAGAGATTCCCGGACTGGTCCATCACCTCCGATTCGCATTGGATTCCCCGGGTTCCCAGTACGTGAAAGTGCTCCCCGACTTCGCTGGCATTCGAGGTTCTCCAAAGCGTTTCATTGTTGATCAGAGTTAGGGAAACCTTTACCTCATTGAAGGCATTCAGCGTGTGAAAGTACAAAAAGCGTTCTGTAATTAAAAATCAATATAATTAACTGGGTTTTTAATATCTTTTTAAATAAACTACCTTCCACTTCACTGGGACTAAGGCTCACTGTGAATATTCCCGCTTGAGAGTTACTGGAGCGGCCCATTCTCCCCCAATTTCAAGGGCTTCATGGACTCGTGCTCTATGCGCCAGGATCGGCCAGACAGGGAATCAAAGACGATCAGGCCATATCCCCAGGCATCGGCTATATAGGCAATGCCACCCACACACCGATTTGGGGTTCCACTCTCCGCCAGATCCACCACCAAAGCCGTAAAGATGGATACACTTGGTGTGTAGGCGTCCGGCGGAATGGAGTGTCGTTGGATCAGTTCATCCTTGACCAGGTCAAAGGTCAGGATTTGTGGCGGACACAGCTGTATGGAGTTGACCTGACCCGAGTCCACCACCCAGAGTCGCCAGCATTCATCAATCTATGGGAAACCATACAGATAAGAGTTTTAAATTTTAATCGCTTAAACCAAATGTTTAATGGTACTCACATAAGTCCTAATGGCGGAGGTGATACCGGAGCAATTGTTGGGAGGAACATGCCACTCCCCGTTTGGATACGCCTCCAAGCGGGGATTCTCCACCACCTCGTTGTCACTTGCAACCACGGTGGCCAGTGTGAAGGGTGTGGCCATCCCAAGTCGCGGAATTGTGAGGAAGGTGCGATGCCTGCCCTCATCGCCGTACTCAATGTCCACATCCACCGGCAGGAAGCGGTTCCCCTTGGACAGATCATCTCCCAAACTAAGGTTTGTCCACTGGTGGAGCGTGTGCAGGTCCTTGAGAGCCAACTTCTGGCCCTGAACTGCACAGAACAACCCGAGGAGAATGGCTATCATAATAGCTGAGAACCTGCAAAGTGACAGTTCCATGCGGTTCAAACGGTTGCCGAAGACTGAAGATTCACAGGTAGGCGCAAAGGTGTTAGCCTTTGGCCGAAAGTACACTGAAACCATAGAACCTAGAAATATACTTTCAAAAAAACTTGAAAGAAAGGTTTTCAAAGTAAAATTTGTTTGAATTTTAAATTTAATTATGACTGATAACAATTTTTCTGGTTTTAATTTGCAATACACCTTCAAATGTAATTTTGCAATACTTTGTAAAATTAATTTTATCAAAATAAATTTAATTTAACATTTAAATCACTTTGTATTCATTTTGACCAGTGCAACTGACCATCGAAATCAAAGACAAAGGTCGTGTACCTGTGGCGGCGAAGCAAACACTTTCGAATAGTCCGAAGATTTATTTATGGGCATCTTTTATGTCGATTTTAAGAGTGTTTACACAGCCAGCCTCTCAGATTTTAAGGGTTTTGGGACCTAAAAGCAGCCCCGCCCCTGCAACAGGTCGTCCACTCCGCAGCGGAGTACCCGATAATTGATTTCCCTGTAGTCGATGGTTCCGGCAAATATCTTCTGCAGTCGATCGGACAGCAGCCACAGCTCCTCCCGGCCGTCTGAAGGCCTCTCGACAATCTTCAGGCCACTCACAAACTGCAGGGTATCCGGATTAAGGGCCAATAGCTGGACATTCTGCCGGTTGTAGGGCGTTCGTATGTTCCAGGCAAAAATGCCGATGGGCTCTAGAAATCCGCAGAACAGAAATCCCTGCCTGCTGATCGCATGCGAGGCACACTGAACTCCTCTTTTGCCCAGGGTGATAAATTCCGAGAGGGAAGCACTGAGGCCCCTTTGCCAATTGGTGGCGTTATTAAGGATATCCAGGGGAATGGCCAGCTCCAGTTCGTTGGAGAGGGCGTGAAAGATCAGATGACGACGGATTCCCAATTCCAACGGAGTAACCGCCAAAGCCAAAGGTCCATCCAGCAGCTCGAAACTTTCTCCTGCCACCGTGTGAGTGCCGAATTTGGCATCCGGATATGTGAACTTGTTCTCGATGCGCCATGAGTTTTGGCCCACCACATCGTAGACCACTATAGCCTTGCTGGTGGGATCGGCCAGATAGGCAAAGACATCCTTGCACTGTCCTCTCGGCGGAGGATCCCTTACGTCCACTAGGATATTCACGAATCTGCTCACTTTCGCCTTGTACGAGGTTTCGGGCAAGCGATAGCGATGAATCAACTGATCGGTGGCCAAATCGATGACCACCACTTGTGGGGCACAGTACTGCACAAACTCAATCTCTCCACTGTCCAAGATCCACATATGACCACAGCCATCGATGTGGACCCGATAAACGGAGGTCAGGCCATCGCAATTGGCTCCATGGCTACTGTGCCACTGGTAACTGGGATAGGCCTGAATTTCACTGCCATTTGCCCGCTGCACATTGGTTACATAGGCTAGAGAATAGGGAACTCCCTGACCAAATCGAGGTGTAGTCACAAAGTGTCGAGCTGGACCACCATTAGCTGGAAAAATAAACAATAGTTTTAATTAAAAGCAGAAACAAAACAAGTTAAGTTTTAATCTAAATGAATAAATTGTAAAATGTTTACACACAACTTTTTATGAAAATATATAAACCATATGTAAATATAGATTCAAAAAATTCCACGTAAGCCGGTTTATAAAATATGTAAAAAATGTATGTCATTAATCAAATCTTCTTAAAAATACATATTTTTTCTGTGACTCCCCTAATTATTATGTTTATGCTTACGCGGATAGTAAACAGCTATGTCGATGGGAATGGGACTATCCGGGTTATATCTTCCATTTCGGAGCACTTGTTCCCGTTCTTGTTCACTAGGGAAACCATATTGAATATTCTTCCACTCAAAAACTCTTGGGATGTCCTTGTACTCTGTTGGAAACTTGAAAGTATCCGGAAAGTTTTGTCTGGGGCGATTGATATGATACTGAGCCAGGCAAACATTTGTGTAAGCTATCCACAGAATAAGAGGAAGAAATAACCTTGAAAGGGTAATATTACTTTGATTAAATATTCAGAACAAACACGTTTTAATCACAGTATATTGTCACCAGTTTTTGGTAGCCTGGGGCTTACATTTTAAGGTTTCTTTTGCACAGTGAGTGATCCTTACTCGGGGGCTCTTTCCATTATACTAAACCACCAGAAGCCAAAACCATATGAAATGTGAAACAATACCAACAAAAGCCATTTTAAGATGGTATATCATACTTGCTCCAACTGGTTTTTAAAATGTATATTGTTTATTTTCGGTTGCTTATTTGCGCTCATTTCACTAGAGTCTCATCTTTGGATACAATACTCTGATTAAAGGTGTTTCCCTTTTGTGTTAACGTTTGTAAACGATGAAAAAGTATTTTAATTAATTTATTTATTGGTTAAACAAAGTGATATTTGTATGATATTTATCAATTGAAAAGACTTTTTGTAAAACAATTGTTGAAAGAGTACACAATTGTCTAACTTGGCGGAACGTAAATGATTTATTAGGTGAAACCTCAAGCAGAACTTAGTAGAGTTCAAGCTCTAGAGTACTAAAGTGTGGACTTAAATTATTGACATTGAACACGCCATGGACAAGTTAAGTCATGGACTGATTTATGTCAAAGCTCTTATCAGTTGTCTTAATAACGAAGCATAGGAAAATTGAAATGCCCATGAATAAACCAGTATATGTTTAGTGTTAATAGGTTTTAGCAGATTTAGGCTACCGTTTTTTATGCAAGCTGTTGCTGAGGAAGAATCCAATTATAAACCAATTAAAATCTATTTAACAACTAATCTTACTTGGTCGAAACATTGTATTTTGTGATTTAAGTATACCCCACACAACATTTTCATTCTCTTTCTTTATTTTTACGTTGTAAAAACTAAAACCCAATTCATGGAAACACGATGAGTCCACCGAAACATGTTTAAGCTCTGCATAAGATTAAGTTAATTGGTTGATGACTGTGAAACTTGTTGTTAATTTTATTATTGAAATTGTAATTTTTCTGAAGACATTATCAGACAGAATTATGTCAACATGTGCTAAACGGTCCAGTCAATCATTAATGAATAAAATCACTGGGTGTTTATGGGCTTATGATCGCATTCGGCATGCCGCATTTAATATGCAAAACTTAGTGGTGGAGGCGCACGCCACTAAGAATTATACCGCAAACCAGAAAAATGAAGAAATCAGCGTATTAAGTGTGGTAAAAACTAGTTAGACTGTCATTTCACGCCTCATTAATGTGGCACTTGAGTGCAGCGGTTGCCCATTTGACGGTAACTTTATTCAATTTGTTTAATTAATCAAAAGGCGTTTTGTCCATTGGGACATCCAGTGACGAAATATACAATCTGTATTGGCAATTTAGTTAATGTTTAAAATAAATATTTTGGACGGGGCCGAAGCATTCGTTTTAAATTGGCGCAAAGTTATAAAACGTTTATGGGTTCGAACCCGTCACTCACTTTTCTTTTATATTTGCAAATCTGAATTTTATTGGCGAAGGGTGCTTCCAATGCTTAACAATAAGTAACTAACTTGAACAAAATCCGGTTTGTTGTTATCACTTTATCTTTTTAAGTGGCATACCTTTATGGTGATTTATCAATTTCATATTTGTATACGGATTAAAGCAGTTCGTTTTTCTCAGCTCTGAATGATCACCGAGTTGACAGGTAAAAAAATCATATTTACTTATATTAGAAAGTGATTCAAATGATTGCGCCTAAAATCAAATTCCTAATCAATTAACCAATCCCACACGCTCGACTGCATACAATGATTGCAATCAGGTATAACATACAAAACTGTCCACCTCGCCCCTGTACAATTTGTTTCTTGTTTTCTCATCAATTACTGCCTGGAGTAGGAGATTAGTATCAAAACCCACCGACGCCTGCCATCGACCGGTTCAAGTTGCAAATTATTAATGGCATTTAAAAGCGAATACTTTGTGATGGACGGAAACTGGTCGCTCAATTTGGGTTTTGCGACAAAAATATTATTCGCACATTTTGCTTAACCTTACTCCACTTTGCCAAAATATTAAGAAACCCCATTTAGAGGTGCTAAAATTAAAATATTTATCTTCCAAACTTAGTAATATTTATAGCTTTCGAAGCGTTGACAAAAAAAAAAAAAAAACAGCCGGAAAAAGAGTGTCACCTTGCAAATATTAAACAATCTCTAATACCCTGTTTCAGATATGGCTCGATATTGTTAGCGAACTAATCTGAAAACATAGCTTATGTCTTTGGTAATCAACTAATCTGTGACACTGCCATTCAAGGCATATTAATGCAGAAATAATCCAAGTTAATGTGTCGCCACCGATATTAGTGTTTAATTAATTGCTTTGAAAGTCATAAATAGTTATCTTTATTGCCAGTTTTAATCATGTATTGTAACTTTCTTGCGAGAAAAGAGAAACCATGAAAAATATTAACGGAAGCTTGAAGTTGAATGCGAAAAATTAATGTAATTTTTCAATGAGGCTTATACCTTGATTTCCGGGACTATGAATTATTACATGTATTAATGTAAAACCATTTGTCTGCAATTTGTTAAACGTGATGATTTTAGAGTGTGAATAAAGTAAGCAAAAACTTCAAAAGTGTGGCAACAATCTTAGTGAGTGAGCTGCTTAATAGTAGCCGGTTTTTCAAAAACACACGCATAACTTTTTCATTAAATTAGTTTAATCAATTTACATGTATAGTGATTTAATTATTTACATCAGCTGCTGGACGCATTGCGTATACGCAGTGTGTGCGCGAGTTGTTTTTTACTGCTCTTTCAACGATCTCGTGGCTCGCTGATAGTAATAGCCGCTGTGGTGCTGAGTGCTGTAGGCGGTGGGCGGCACCGAAACCATCCGAGTGGTGGCCGCCGGGGCAGTGGTGCCCACCAGAGTGTCCAGATAGGATCGCTGATAGATGTCCCTGGTCGCCTTGCTGGGCGGAAAGGCTTCTCCCTGATTCAGAGCCGTAAAGGGATTACGTGCTGCATAGTTAACAACTCCTCCGGTTTCGAACTTAAAAGGCGTTTTGGTGGTAAAGGGCGTGGTAAGCGCCGGACTGGTGAAGTATGTTTGCAGGGCATTCGTCGACGTTTGACCGTGAGTATTGTAAAGCCCGTAGTTCAACAAACTGTTGTGAGTGGGTGCCGGAGGAAGGGCAACCCGATGGCCCAACAGCGAGTTCCCAGCGGGCAGCTCCAGCCTCACAATTCGGTTGTTAAACTCATTGGGATTCAGGTTCTTGAGGAAGAAACGGTGGAACTTCGAGGCAATGGCATAGATCACTCCTGGTTCCGATCTTGTTGTGGTTATATCCGCAACAAACTGCAACTGATCGCGATCGAATGCCAGCACGGATTGCTGATTGGTGGTTGGATTCCACGAGGCGATGGCTGTTTCACTCAGGGGACTGAAGATCAGGCTGCTATCGAAGGGCGAAACGGAGAGTCCAATCCCCTGGGAGCTCTTCTTGCCCACCAGTTTCACATCCAGCATTTTGCCATCTGGCAAGGGACCCGCTCGCAGGACATTCTTGTGCACGGAGAAAACTCTAAAAATGGCAATGAGCTCCAGTAAGTTCACTTATTACCAGTAAATAAGTTACTTATGTACCCACCTATCGGTTGCCAGAGGCTGGAAGTAAACCACACCAGTGCGTTCATCGAAAGTCAGGCCTACCACTCCGTCCATCAATACGAAGCGATCATTGAGAATCTCCGACTGGGCAAAATCGGGATCAGGATACATGGCGGGATGCGAAACCCTCCAGGTGACATCCTTTCCACTGTCATACACAATTATTCCCGGCTCCACGGTGTCCGTGATGTAAACAAACACATCATCGCATCCCTTGGCAGTCGTCTCATCAATCACCATGTTGGTGAACAAGGACTCTCCACGAAGAACTTCTGGAGGGAAATCGATCCTACGCACCACACGATCTGTGGCCAAGTCCACAACCAGGACCTTTGGTGGACAGGTGATTTCGTAGTCCTCCAGGGAGCGCGAAATTCCAGCGTCCAGGAGCCAAATGCGATTGCAGGAGTCCAAACGCAGACGGTAAACCGAAGTCAAGATGAGATCGCTGCAGTTGAAGTCGCTGCGTCCGGTGTTCGAGAAGGACCAATCGGGATAGGCCTGCAGGACTGGGGAGTCGCCAAACTGTGACTTTGAGACCCAACTCACGGTGGAGGACACTCCTGAAAAGAGCTTCGGTGTGGCCACAAAGATCCGGTCATCGGTGACCGCAACTCCGGTGATCAGGACATTCTGCGGATTGTAGAAGTTGGGATCGGTGACCGGAGCTTGGGGCTCGAAGTTGTAGCGCAGGAGCTTCCACTGCTTGGCCACCTGCAGTCCTGGAGTTAGAGCCTGGCTAACCGGCGACCAAAGGACCACACAAATCACTCCAAGGAGGATGCGAAACATGGCAAGATGAGGCTGGAAAATAGTAAAATCGAAAGAATTACTTGATGTTGCAGTCACTGCTGGACCTGAATTTAAACTGCTGCATCTCAGCTTTGGATGCGGCTTATCTATCATTTCTATTTCCGGACAATCGTCATGGGAGGCAATCGGAATCGGAAATTTTCCCAGCATAAATATTGCTGCTTATTGTATTTATTGATCATTAAAATGTTTTAAACAATGTGGAAAATAATTACTTTATAAATGGTAAAATGTTCTAAGAACCTTGTTTCAAAAATTTACATTTACTGAACTTATTATTAAATATATGTTTTCCATTGTAAAAACACAGTGCAACATTTTGTTATACAAATATACTATTTAAAAAACTTAAAAATAGATTACAAACGGATTTTTGTTTTTGTGTTTTTTTTTATAGCTTAGGGTTTAACTGTAATCTCCCCTTATTTAACAAATTTATCACGGATTTTATTTGTTGTATATGTATTAAGGAAAATGAAACTTTTCTTTGAGTGTAGAAAACTGAGAAACTGAGAAAACCACAGGCTTTAAATAAATAATCAATCGGTGAAGTACTGAGCCCTGAAACGTGATATTGAATGAATTAGCTCCAAACGATTAGTGAGTCGTTTTGAGCAATTGCAGACGATGCATTTTTAATTTGCGATTTCAAATCTGCATACAATGACTTAACCTATTTATTAGAATTCCCAGCCAATACCATCAATTTAATTGCTGCCAGTAAGGTAATGGCCTCAGCTGTCATATTAAAGCCCTTTCTAACTAGATGCAGATACAGATATTGACGGTGATACAGATACAGATTGCATATAAATGTGCCAATTCCGGTATGCAGATTTCTGATTGCAGAATGGTGAACCAGGAGTGGGCTTGGCGATTGTATTTAAATGAGTTCGCATTGCAGCCGGGTCAGTCCAGGCTTTTCATGAGTGGAGTGATTGAGGTGTTCGTATCCATCAGATACCTAAGCTTGCATCTGCAGCGTGCTTTAATTTCTCACGTCAGTCGTATCCCACTCGCAGTCACGATCCCAATACCAAGATGCAAAAGATGCACTTGAAAAAATTTCACACTATTTATTGTTTTTATGTTCACAAGCCCTCCATTATGATTGTGGTTTTATTATAAGGAAACCCATGTTTATTTAATATGTCTAGAATAACAGAATTGACTGTGCTTTTAATAAAAAGGTTTGGATTGTTGTTAAAGCTTGTTAGATTTCAGTGTACAGGCGAAACTTGTGCGTTTTTTAATTGCTAAGTGAGCTTTGGCTCTGCAGAGACATAAGGAACTGACACTTTAATTTTATGTTCACTAGTTAGAGCAAAACTCAACGGTCGGCATCTGAATATTTTCGGCAAATTCGCTGTGGGCAGTTGTCTCTGATTTCGCTCAAATCACATACTATTAACGCCCGTCGTCAACTCCCAGACTCGTTTGAATCTGGCAAATTGCAGACAAACATGGCCATCGTGCGGCATGAAACTTTCATTGGCGCGTGCCGCGATAAGCAGTTAAAGATAATTGAATTTCAGTAATTTTCAAGCTAGCAACAAACGTTTGATGAGAAAAACTAAAAGTCAAGGCTGATCTCGATGCCGCACGCATGAGAGAGATTTATTTCTGCGTACTTGCGCACTTTGCATAACAATTGTGCAACACCAAGCGGAAATTCGAGCAGTTTCCCAAAACTATAAAAAGTAACGAAAAGAAAAAGAAATGAGAAGGGGAAAACATCGGTTTTTGTCACTGGGCGGCAAGCGGAACAAACCGTTTACAATAACTTTACAAGCCAAGAGTTGTAAGCCGCAAACCACGAAGCTACTTGTCTTTTTATACATTTTATTATTATTGTTATGTTGTTTTTTGGTTGGAGTGAGCATTTCGCTTGATAGCCACTTATAATGATGAGCTATGGCAGGCCAATGAAAACCCGCTTAATTTTCGTTTAATTTGTCTATTAAATTTCAGCACGAAACTGTTCGAAAGCGTATGCTGAAAACAAGTTGTCTGCACGATATAAACCTCTTGGGAAAATAATTAAGTACTACATAGTATTTTAATAAAATGTTTGCCTGGGTAACCTTTTGAAAGTATTTTGTTTTTGGTTTTGGGTGTGGAGTTTTTTTTTTATCAGTAATAATACATGTTGTTAGACAAGGAAAAATAAAAGATTACGAATTTCCTTTGAGCTTAAAAATCCACTTTATGTATTTGTGCAGAAATATTGTGATTAATCACTTAAAAAGTGTTTGTCCTGTTTTTCAAGATATTGTGCTTTTGCAAATAAAACAAAAACAAAAGATATCTACACATCCATGAAAGAAAACATTGAATTACTTTTGTTTTTCAAAGGCATTTCGACCTTAAATCATTTTTGAGACAATTGGGGTAACAAGATAAATGTTTTTTCTGTAGTCCAGATGTTGACAGGCCATTTAAAAAAGGGTCCCTTTGCCATAGTCACACCGCCAGTTGTGATGCAACGAAGTGTGTGATTCCTCAGTTGGTCGCCGGGGGCCAATTAAGAAAAATAACTTCGACCTAGTTTCACTAACTAGTACTACAATCCACGCGGCTCATATAGAGCCATTCGATCGTGTGTTGCCTTATCTGAATCTCAATGTTTTGCACCTTGTCGCTCCGCGTGTTCTCACGCGTTCCACAATGGACATGAGACCCAAAATGTTTAAACTCAATTGAGTTGTACTATTATTCCTTGATCTGATTTGAATCGGCTTCTTTGGGAGTTCCCATAAAACATAAATCTGCTGCAGCGTCGAGCGGAAGGCACGTTCGCCGAAGGTTGATTAACACCTGCTTGTGAATTTCGTATTTTTGCAGGCGGCGGAAAAGGTCGCCAGCACAGCTTCCTTAAATTCAGCGGACATGTGTACCAATATGCGGCAATAAATCCAGTCTAAATCAACAGTCACGTTAAGTGACTGCACTTTGCGGCGGCTATCGATTTTAATTGGGCCCAAAACGTAGAAAAATGCGTTTGCCAACAAAAGTTAATTAACACAGTTCCGTTCTCCGACAGCGGCTTCTTTTGGCCACACACCAAAATCACAGAAAAAAACACACCGACACACGCGATCGGCGCATTTGGCTAATAATTCGAAATGTGCAACCGTCTACCCTTGATTTGCCAATTAAACCGATGGGCTTCCAAATGTTATTTAAGATTTTTTCGGTGAGAGTGGCATTGGCAACGCCTCGCGAGCTGCATTCGACGAGCGAGTTAACTAAATGCATGGCAATTTGCACTTTAACCGTTAGAAACCGCACTTCGCGTCGTGGTAGCAATTGCCGAGTTCGTTGCCTAAGTCTTTTGTTTGTGGCCAGGCCAATTTGTTGTTCATCTGGCATTAGCTTACTTTTGATACACTTTTGAGCTAGCTGGAGCTGGTTGTTGAGAAGTCGCTGCTTTATTTTATCTTTGGCTGTAGTTGCTGTTTTTTTTTCCACTTTTTTTTTATTTTCGTTTTCAACTGATCGCGCGACACGTCTGAGCGTTGTGGTTGCCGTTTTGCGACTGCGTTCCGTTTGCCAGGCGCACCGAATTTTATAAGAGTGTGTTGTTTGGCTAACAACAAGCGCGGACGGCTCCTGCTGCAAGCCTCCCTGTGCAGCTCTTATACTCGACTCGACGGACATTCAGATATTCAGAGTGGCTTTTCTTCGTGGCACAGATCGCTCATACGCTCCGTTGTGCCAGCTTCCGCACATTTGCATTTATGTCGGCAGGTTATGACTGCTTGTAGCTCCGTGGCCAATTGTTGTAATTCGGTTGTTACTTGACGCGGCAATTGGGTTTTCACTCTTTGCAAGTTCATTATCGCCGTGCCAATAAATAACTCATGGGTATTTTATATACTCATTTTGGCGCATTTCGGTGTTTTTATCAGCGGCTCTTTTTGTCAATGGAGAGTACATTGTACCGCAGTGCGATGATGCGGAATTTAAGGTAAACGGACAGTTATAAATTCAGTGTACTCGGGGAGCAATTAAAATACCACAACCAGTTCGAAAGGCCTGTTCAGCTTAAATGAAGATTTGTTTATGCATATTTTTAGGAATGCCCAGTCAAATTTGAGATTTATATTCCGCCTTCTGTTGAACGTGCGAACTTTAAGCAGTTCCCCAGAAATTAGTATAGACTGGATTTCCAACCATGTTGTTCATTTGAATTGAGAATATTAAATCGTGCATGGAGTATTTATATCTCCGAACCCCACAATTGATATGTAATTGGCCCGTCATATTAATGATTTATATTCCGCCTTCTTATTTTTTTTTATATTTAATTTAAGTCTGTTCCATTTAATTAGCACACGAGACTGGATTTTAATCAAAGTTGTGCAGCTGAGCTGTATTTAAATTTTCAAAGCCCCTTCAACTGATATGTGATTTGCTGCAACACTTATATTTTATTCCGCCTTCTGTTGACTATTTTTATTAGTTATTAATCAGATGTCTTTACCCTTTCATTTGGCTAGTTGTCGATGCAGGACAGGTGCTTTGGCTTAGCACAGAGACTGGATTGCGATCGGAGCGGTCCAACTTTGTTGCACTGGAATCGAGTTTCATAACGTGCATGCAGGAACCCATTTACATTTGACCAATATCGGAGCGAGTGAAAGCCCAACGGTCCGAGAAGCCGGCTCTTTTGAGGGACCAACCCGTTTGCACCCAATTGAAAATGGAAAGTGCAACGGGCAATTTGAATTTCGGGTTTGAAAAACCCAAAATGTTCTCTGCCGCGGATTTTCGTTGGCTGAGAGCTAACCCAAAAACGTGAAAAGCCCCACTTTAAAGGGGTTATGCAAAAAAGGTGACTGCAGCCGCTGTATCGAAACTGGTTTGCGGGCAGAATTAGCCAAGTTAGCATTAACTGCCTCGGTTTGGTATTCGATTGCATTGTGACACATGGAATTTGTTTACTTGCTCGAAATACCCAATGCGTGGATGAGTGCTTCAGTGCTCAAATGCTGGATTGCTGGGGGTTGGGGCTTTATCAGGCGATGATTACCCAAATTAGCATGTGCGAATTCGTTGCCCTGGGCCAAGCCCGTGTTCGAACGACATTCACTTTTTTTTCTCTCACTTACTCTTTTTAATTGTGGTATTTTCGGAGAACACGGGCACCCAAGCTAATGCCAAGTTACGATTTAAATAGACACTTATGTAGTACCGGTTCTAAGCATGCCGGTTCAAGGCTGCGGCCAATGTCAGCCGATATGGCCAGCAGTCGGCCGGTGATATAACCGAGTAATCGTAATTGGAGTAATCCGAATCGGACATGTTACGACATGTAAGCCGGGCGGAAACGTAGGTGGCTTGCGCCGTTTGTCCCGCGGCGATTCGCGGCTATCAAAACTATCACAAGCATCGCCGTTTCCTTTCACAACAACGCCCTGGACCGATGCTCATTAGCCGTTTGGCTTGGCCGTTTCGAAAGTAACCACACCGCGGAGAAACAAAATCTGCTCCAGCTCAGCTGGTCACTCGCTCCATATGAATCGGTGACGATGAACACTTGAAGATTAATAGCCGCGACGCCTTGAGATGGCATAGGTTTGCACACCGAAATAAAAACTTATTACAGCTGAGAGGTTAAAGAAGCTGAAGGTATTAAAAAATAAATTAATCTCTCACATCTATTTTTATCTATTAAAACTAATGTCTCCTCTGTACTTAATGATTCTAAAAATTGGTAAGTCTTGAAGATAAAAGGTTTGGTTGGCAAGCCTATGAATGATTACAACTTTATTCTCCCTGTAGCTGTGACCAATAATAACATATCTGCTCGAAATGTGTCCATTACGAAATGAACTTTAAATATGTTTCAAAACGAGGCTTTCTGGCTGTCCGCTAGCATTCTCCAAATGCCTTGTCATCGTCAACGTGCAATTGCTTCATTTGCGCATTCTGCGCGCACAAATGTGAGTTTAATTGAATCAAGCGGAGGCAGCTCTTGTCGCCCGTTGACAGTTTCATTACCGGCTCTGTCGTCGGCGCAAGGTCTTGATGAATTTGGTAAACATTTCGGGCATTTAGGTGGCTCTGGGACCTTTTAAGCCAGACATTCTAAGCGCCGGATCTCTATCGACTTATATTGCGATCGGCACTCGGATCTTAAACGCTTTAATGGCTCTGCTTAAGTGCTTGCCTTTTGGTTTTCCATAAATGCAGACCATTAAACCAATTAGGCCAATGCGGCTTGAAGGCTCCACCTCCGCAGAAGGTGTGCCAACAGCCGGTTTCCCACAGACATGCACAAAGATATAGCCACAATTGATTTCTATTATTTTGTGTGGCGCACACTTTCGTTTTCCGTCGATTGTGAGCACCACCGGATTATCAATATCCTCCAATAACATTCAAGCACTGCGGTTGGAGAGTTATTATTACTCGGCCATATGCACAATAAATCAGTTTTGAAGTATATATGACCACTAGATACCCATAAAGACACAGAAAGAAAATACAATAAACAAAAGGCAATCATATGTTTTCCAATTATAAAAATCATTAGTGAAATGAGAATTTTATTATATCAATTTTAATTTTGGATTACATAGATTGTTTTTTGTTTCTTTTTTTAAGGTTAAATTTGACTTTACATTGATTGTGTTAAAAAAAGACTACTTTCTTCGCAAGAAAAAAGAGTATGCTTATGATCTTTTTTCATGTGCACCTATGATAGTTTCTATTCTCTTGACGAAGGTCAGCACCATGCCAAAAGTGCTGCAACTGACTCCGATTTTGACGCCTGTGGCCAATGCGAAGTATAACAGAATGGACTGATTTGATATAGTATTCAACGGGGACAGAGGGGTCGAAGTGCGCTGGACATGCAAGCTGGCTTTGTTTTCAGACGTCAAGCTAATAAATTGCCAGAAATGCACGCCTGTGGCATAACGAAATTCGAATACCTTTTGCAAATGAGTCACTGAAAGGTTTTTTTTGCTACGGGCATGCACCTAAGTTACAGTTAATCAACTGCTAAACTAAAAGATTATCTATGTTTAAGTCATATTAGTAGATTGATGAAAGCTTATTTAACTCTTATACTTCCTGAGTCAGTATCAAACCGTAACATAATTTGGCAAATGCCAATTCAAAAGAGTAAGACTTGAATTAATGTACATTTTTTTATTAATCCGCAGTTTATATTCAAAAGTAAAAAACAAGTCTTTTCTTTTGTGTTATGGCAAAAATATGTTTTAACAAATTACCATACCGACTAGGTAGGATTTTTCGTTATTATTAATTAAAGATCAGACGGGAGAACACAGACGAAACGAAAACCGTCACTGATTCAATTTACTCGCCTCCTGGTCAATGCAATTCGAATATCTAACATGCTTAACATATTTTGTAGCTCATGACCACACAGCACAAGCCGGCTCAACTTTTACCACCATGTTGACCAAATAAAACTGGGCAGTAAACTTGAATGATTGTACGATTGAAAAACTATTCAATAGACTTCGCACTAATAGACGTAGTTCTTGCAATAATCTTATCTTGATGGAGTCTTGATTGACTATTAAAATGTTTAACGTTTAGGCTTATAGTTCTGGCCGATTCTAATTAATGTTGCTAAACTTTTTGTACGAAATTTGTTTGTGACAAACCAACACGGCGTGTGGAAATTCGATTTTACAATTTGCGCAATGCAAAGCCATAAAAATGTGCGTTTATGAAGTGTGTTGCTGGCCAAGAGATAAATAAAAAATGAGGGCAATTTGCTGGATTCAAAATCTAGTGCCCACCAGCATATTGCAATTGCATATTGCAATTGCTGTCATTTATTTATAGTTTTATTTGAGACACACGCGCTTTATTCAATTTGTTTTTCTTTCACATTCGGTACGACATTATTTATGACTCTGAAATGTCAGGTCTCGTTGTTCCCATTGGTACCGTGGCTTTAACTTTAATGTCAAATTCATACGACTCTACCCGATCACGGATGGTAATAGTCTGAATTTTGCCAGTGCTGTTGAAATTTATCCGGAGTAACGATAAGACTCGTGGTAAAAATGCTAATACGAAGTAATTATTAATAACTAATCTTAAGCACAAGCTTAGCTAAATCACTTCACGTATTCAATATAATTGTAATCTTATTTTTATGACGTGACAAGATTTTAATTTATTTTTTTAGTAGTCAAAACTTGAAAGGCGTTTTTACAAAAAATTAATTAAACAAGCTGTCAAAAATGTTATCATTCGACAACTTTACAGCAATTATTTAGTTATGCATATAAATAGATATAGGATTTAATTATATTTTAGACAGATTTCTAGCAAAAAATAGCTACCAAAATCACACTGAGTTGAACTGGCTGAAGTTGCAAGCAGAGTAGCATATTGGCTCGAAGAGATTTCAGATAAGACTTGTCGTAATTCAATTGGAGCGTCAGCGCACAAGACGGGCCCGTAAAAACGTGGCCTAAACAAACAAGCCAAGTGAGTTGGAGGAAAATACTTCATGCCTAACAGTCACAGCCATGAGGGGCCAAATCAGTCCAGAGTAGGAAAAATTAACATAATTGCAGTATAATAACAGAGTCGGTCCCGTGGGGCTGGGAGTAAACCTCCCCTATGGGGCGTGGTCGATGGGCGTGGCACAGTCAGTCGTTTGCGGCATGTCCACACCTGAGCAGCGTTTTCGGTTGACCTTCTTGCTCCTCTGGAGCTTGCAGTCAGCAGTCCACGGATTCGGGATAAATCTAATGAAGGTTCAGCCCGAGGACAAAAGACAGGAGGCTTGTATCCTTGCATTGCTTCGGAAATATTTCGATTCCGTGGATGGACTTTCCGGCTCAGTGCTCTGTTTCAATCGCAACAATCAGTTGCACAACATTCAGGAGCAATTGCTGAAGGGCATTAACTCAAATGGGAAGTATCCTTGGAGCCTTATGATAACGAATTTCAGAGAGGGTCCCCCATCATCGTCGTTTCTTATGAACGAAAAGCCGCAGTGCTATTTCATCATTGTCGAGAGTCTGGAAGACGAAGATCTCGACGAGATATTTGAGCAATGGAGAAACATGGTGAACTGGAATCCCCTGGCCCAATTTGTGGTTTATATGGCCAGCTTGGAGGAAACAGACGAAGAGATGACGGACCTTATGGTGGAATTGCTTCTTACCTTCATGAACAAGAAGATATTTAATGTGAATGTGATTGGGCAGAGCGAAGAAAATGAGTTTTTCTACGGGAAAACCGTTTTCCCCTACCATCCGGACAATAACTGTGGAAATCGTGTGATATCTATTGAATTACTCGATGCCTGTGATTATCCTGGGGAAGAAAAGGAGTATAAGGATGGCGAGGAGGAGGATGATGAGGAAAACGAAGACACTGATAACAGTCAGGAAAATGACGATGAAAATGGTCAAGAAGAGGAGGTAGCAAGAAATAGCAAGGAAAGTGGAGAAACTTATATGGACACTGAACAAAGTAAAGAGCAAAACAATGGTGACGAAAATAAAAGTGTGGAAAAAAATGAAGAACAATACCCCCAAAATGAAGAAGATAGTGAAGGTCAAGAAGTTGAAGGTAATGATTATGATAACCAAGAAAGCCAAGAGGATTATGCAGAAAACAGTCGCAGAACAAAGGTTTATGTTTCAAATAATTCTTACAGCGATAGTGGTGAAAATGAATTAGATACTTCAACTGCTTCTACGAATGATGATATTTCTGAAAGTACAACTGAGATAAGCAATAAAGATCAAGCTGAAAATTCAACTGAGATTAATAATGAAAGTGAAGCTATTGGATCATCTGAAAACGAAACAGATGATGAGGAACTAGATAATAATTCAAATTCAAACTCCTCAGAACCGGAGGCTACGATCGAGGAGTTCTGCCGCGCAAAATTTGAGGATAAGTTCCCTCGCGATCTCAGTGGATGTCCTCTGGTAGCTTCCTTTCGTCCTTGGGAACCGTACATTTTTCGCAGCAGTGAAGAGGAACCAGTGGAGGATTACTACTATGGTTTGAACGGGAACGAAGATGACTACAATGAGACAGTTCCCAGTTACGGGGAATCAAATGATGAAAGCTATGGTGATCCGGAGGAGGAGGACGGAAGTCACAGCGCTGACTCAGATGCACAGACCGCTAAAAAAATCAAACTAAGTGGAATAGAGTACGAAATGATGCAGACCATTGCAGAGCGACTCCACGTTAACATTGAAATGCAGAGCGAAAACAACAATTTGTATCATCTTTTTCAGCAACTAATTGATGGGTGAGCATTCAGCTAAGAAAAATATTCTGTTTACATACTTTTAAAAAAATATTCATTACAATGGCAGGGAAATCGAGATGATTGTTGGAGGAATCGATGAGGATCCGAGCATAAGCCAGTTCGTATCCAGTTCGATTCCATATCTCCAGGATGAACTCACTTGGTGTGTGGCAAAGGCTCAACGTCGCTATGGCTTCTTCAATTTCGTGGCCACCTTTAATGCAGACGCAGGAATCCTGTTCGGACTCTTTGTAATCACCTGCTCTCTAATGGTTTTGGTGGCTCAACGCGTTTCTAGATTACGGCTACGTAATCTTAGTGGATATATTCCTATTTGCTTGAGGGTGCTAGGGATTTTGTTTAACCAGGCCATCCCAGTTCAGAATTTTTCCATAACGTTGAGGCAACTATTTGGACTCTCCTTTTTTATGGGCTTTTTCTTCAGTAATACTTACCAGAGTTTTTTGATAAGCTCACTTACCAATCCCCGGAGTTCCTATCAAATTCAGACTCTCGAAGAGATCTACTCCCATCGAATGACAATCATGGGGACATCCGAACACGTTCGACACTTGAACAAAGAAGGGGAGGTATTGTATAAGTAACTGCTATTATTGAAATGTTCCAAATTATTTTCTGAATCTAATTCTAGATTTTCAAGTACATTCGCGAAAAGTTCCAGATGTGCTATAATTTGGTGGACTGCCTTAATGATGCCGCTCATAATGAACATATTGCAGTGGCAGTTTCCCGGCAGCACTCTTTTTATAATCCTCGCATCCAACGAGATCGCCTCTACTGTTTCGATAGAAAGGAATCTTTGTATGTCTATCTGGTGACTATGCTGCTACCGAAGAAGTACCATCTGCTTCACCAGATTAACCCGGTGATCCAACACATCATCGAATCGGGACATATGCAAAAGTGGGCTCGCGACTTGGATATGCGGCGAAAGATCCACGAGGAGATCAATCGAGTGCGCGAGGATCCTTTCAAGGCCCTGACTTTTGATCAATTTCGTGGAGCTTTCGCTTTTTCCGCCGGACTTTTGATGGTGGCCAGTTGCGTCTTTCTCATCGAGGTCTGCCACGCAAAGTGGGTTCGAAGATCTAAAAAAAGAAGATTGACTAAAAATAAACGCAAGAAGCCGCAGTAACTTTTAACTTCAGAACGATTTAAAAATAATTAATAAATGTTTTTTAGTTATCAAATTTTTTTAAGATATAAATTCCGATGATAATTGTGCCAGAAAGTATGCAACAATTTCTGCAGTTAAATGCATGGTTACTTTTTAGTCGCAGCTGTCGGCTAAGTTCTTAATTTTTATTAAATTAAATTCCCTTACACCGTAAGGGCTTATTTATATCGCTTGGATTTATCGATCATGTATACGCCCTGTGGAACCAAACATGTGTATTGAATTAAAATAATTAAATACAAATCAAATAGTAAAACTTTCGAAAATCTGCTTAAAGAGATTCATAAATATATGCTCATATATTAATATTTTCTTGGCACAATATTCAATTTAAAAATACAGTTTTGCAATACACCGTGGAATGCAGTCCGCGTCGTCGTTGCACAGAAAGAAAAAATATGTTTTTCATATATATATTATAAATGTGTTTGGTCAAATTTACCTATAGATGTTTATTCATCTTTGGGAAACATTAAGTTTTTGGCGCAGTTTACTATACAACATTGTCTTTCAATGTGGAAGGGGGCCAATTAAATACCTTAAATTTGGCTAGAAATTAACTTTGTGGTCTTGTAAAAATGTACAATATTTTTTGATGTGTTCCTTGGTCATATCCGAACTCATATCCGTACCGAAAGCTGCTGGCGATGCGGCTGGTTGTCAAAAAAGCGAACAAGCGCGCACGCCGCCAACGTCAAGCTGTCGTCGGCTTCTCCTCTGAATTTCGGCGCATCCTTAAAAGGTGGTGGCCCAATGTTCCGACCTGGCCTGTTCGCCACTTTTTTGTTCTGGCCTGGCTGGTGCCTCCGCCTCTGATGCTGCTGCCACAACCAAATCTCGTATATGTGGCTTTCACAAGTTTTTATAAATAATATTTTCAGGCAGCACATTTGTTGCAGTATCATCAAATTGGCAGATTTGTGTTGTTGCTGGCCAACACAATTCAATCAGCTGCTAGCCAGCTAATGTGGGCCGAAAATGTATACAAAAAAAGACACAATCGTTAACATATATTCAGACGTATTTAAATATTATTAGAGCGTCGTGGCAGACCAAATGAATGGCGCCCAACAAGGCGTTGTGAAAATGTTTGCTGATTACTCAGCTGATGGAGGGGAAAAATAGCGTCAATGAACCAAGAGGAAATTCTATTACATTATGGAGCAGATCTTGATTATATCGAATATGAGGAAATCATCCTATGAGGTGAAGTTATAGGATGATCTTGAAAACCCTATTACTTAATTAGCTTCCAGGGTACTTAGCGAGCCCTATTAAGAAATTCCACTTCCTCACCTGCGATAACTGGCCAATCGCATATTTATCTAAATATAAATATATGAATTTCGTGAGTTCTTCATTAAAAATAGAATTCCATACTCTAGATACGTTTCTGCGCGTAAGCGTCAAAGAATCTCTTGCAAAAACGTGAGAGCGCACGATTTTCGTTTTATTTATTTTTGCCTTTCCCTTCGATTTCCATCTCACACACAGTTGTCCCACCCACACTCGCACTCTCGGAAAAGCGAGAGAATTGTGTAAACAACAAACGCATTTTTCCTTTTTGTTATTATTTTAAAAAATTCCCACAGCACCATATAAGTCAATAAAGAGTTTTGAACATGAACTCAATGGATTTTAATGGACTCGTTTGTGATTGATGAAAGTGTGCCAGAAAAGAAAAACGAAATTGTTAATGGGCAAATAAGTTGGGGCGTTCCTAATTAATTTCAGTTTGGCGAACAGAAATCTGGCAAATCTATAAATGCACTTGGCGCTCTATTAACAATTTTCGGTTTGCGTTTATGGCTTTTGAGTCCCTAACCAGCCAGCATACCCACCCACCCAGCAAAGCGGCCCACACCCAGCAAATTA